TGCGATCCACAGAAACTTACTACTCGGACCTGAGGGTGTAACTGAACGGCTTGCGTGCATGGAATGGGCCTGTGGGAGAATACTCAGTAGCCAGCCATGCGGACTAATCTGTGTTGGCCCTATCATAGGCTGGTCGCACCTCAGGCCACTGCTTGTTCGGTACAGTCTGTCGTGCATGTGTTGTTGCTTCGTGTCTTAGACAGTCAAGCACATTGCGAGAAGAAACATTCATAAACTTTGCCATGTTGTTTATATATCCATACACCTTCACTCTCCAAACGGTCTCTGGGCTACACCAATCACTAAAAGAACAAGAGATATGAAATTCATATCTAAGATAAATTGTGCACTCATAACAACAGCAAAAAATGAAGAAAGTCAAGTTCCATAACGTTTTCTTGTGACTGTCATCAGCAGAACGCCGTCACATAAAAATGTAATAACTAAACACACACTTATATACATGTAGCTAATATGGTTTCAGGTAGAAATACAGCAGCCAGCAAGTACAAAAAGCGAAGTTGGCACCTTTGCAATGTCTGAATATAGTGTATGTGAGAAAGGTAGTGGCAGATGAATGTGATACTGTGTGAATGAATGTAATGGTGCGTGTGTATTACTTGAAGAGTGTGAGTGATAAAACGTCTTCTTTCTGTTTACACAGCACAGGGTCACGAGTACAAAATTAATATACACAGCTTCCAACACCTGCAATTGCTTGAAGAAACGTGCGCAACGATTAACACTAAACCAGGAATCGTCAAACACCTTACGACATTCTGGACTGGACACCAAATGCTTGTACACTGCAGACTTCCTCTATGTGCTATGTAAACAGAAAGAAAACGTTGTATCACTCACACTCTTCAAGTAATACACACGCACCATTACATTCATTCACGCAGTATCACATTCATCTGCCACTACCATTCTCACATACACTATATTCACACATTGCAAAGGTGCCAACTTCGCTTTTTGTACTTGCTGGCTGCTGTATTTCTACCTGAAACCATATTAGCTACTTCAAAAGTACATGTATAATATATAAGTGTGTGTTTAGTTATTACATTTTTATGTGACGGCGTTCCGCTGATGACAGTCACAAGAAAACGTTATGGAACTTGACTTTCTTCATTTTTGCTGTTGTTATGAGTGCACAATTTATCTTATTTATTGCCATTTTACGACTATTGTCTCCTCGTCGATTGTTTAAATTCATACCTCTTTTTCTTTTAGTGATTGGTGTAGCCCAGAGACCGTTTGGAGAGTGAAGATGTATGGATATAGTGGATGGCTACAGTGGAGTCTTCGCATTTTGAGAAATATGTTGTTTACATGTCCGAGATACTGAAACTGAGGGAAGGGTCTGAAGAAAAAATTCACTCTCACCACCAAGACTCGAAACCGGTCACCTTCGCTCGCGGCCAGCGATGCTCTACCACAAAGCTACGGTCCGGTGTAGCTGTCATCCAAGCAACGGCTGTTCAACATTTACTTCAGACTTCGAAACTCACGCTACAAAAAATGCAATACAAATACTACATAATTATACATGAACTCGGATGGAGAGCCAAGGATAAATTTATAGAAAAGAAAAAGGACCAAGGAACTGCAAGTTGCGCTATAACACCACCAGTTACTAAACAATCAGCTCATGCGATAACATTGCACGACTCTGACCGATGATACTGACGTTCTACAACTACAAATAACTGGCGATCAGCTCTAGCGCGCCTTGTCGGCACCGTCGGTCAGTGACTCAGTGTCATGCAATGTTACCGCCTGAGCTGATTTAACTGGTGGTGTTAGTGGACATTATATCGTAACTTGTAGTTCCTTGGTCCTTTTCTTTTCTATAAAAATAATACTACATGTATACAGGCATGAATTATAGGTTAGTGCATGGCAGGGAGGGCCCTATGGCTTGTTAGTGCCCTCCAGGGTAGTCAGAGGGCCGTAGGCCCAAGGGCTACCCTGGATGGCACTAACAAGCCATTGGGCTCTCCCTGCCATGCATTAACTAAATGTTCTAAAATTAGAACGAGGTCAATCCCGTTGCCTAGGAGCTGACCAATCAGCGGAATTAAAGAATGTTTATTATTCTCGCAAAATAACCTCACTAATTGTAAGGCAACATGTTGATTGTAACATTGCAGTTAAGCAGACCTCCACTAAATACAGTTTGAAGAGCATTATCGATTCTTTGCTGTTGTTGTTGGGGATTAAAGCATGGAGCTGGTCTTGGACAGGCAACATTAACTTCTGAAGGAGGCTCTGCGACTCGAAGAGTTGAAGATGGCGGTGGCTGCATTGGAGACGGAGGATCAAGGACAAACGTTGAACATACTTCTTTCGACGTATTCTGTCGAAGACCCGCTTTTGCGGATGACGGATTGACCAGTGGACACGAATTTGACGATGGAATGTAGGGTCTGATTTGCGAGTTGGTTCGTGAAGATTGAGATTGCGCAGGACTTGTTGTAGATGTGATGTTGTCAGAAAGTCTTGAAGTCCCTTTTGGCGTGAGGTGGATGGTTCTTGACAGTCTTGATCAGGTGAACTTGACCTCTCATCTAATTCCCTTGGCACTGAATTTGCTTGTCGTCTTTCCGATGATTGAGATGAAGGTGCATCTAGAACAGCTGCCATATTTCTTTGTTGTTCATCAGTTGACTTGCTGTAGCTTGCCAGGCTCATGGCATTTCGGTGTCCTGTTACCTGCATGATGTGTCGATCTGTAGCTCCTGCTGCTGAGAGACGGTGGACAGTAGTAGCCCGTACAGAATGGTTCGTGTACGTCTTAGACAAATCACACACTTTAGACAGCTTGGGCATTATTTGAGCGAGGGAATTTTTGCCCAAGGGAGTATTCTCAAACCATATCTGCTCCCCTTTCCTCAGGTTCGGTTTGGGCTTTTGAAATAGCGCTTCTTGCTGAGGATGTAGGCGTGACAGCAGATACTTGACACTGAAGACTTGATCTCCGTCCTGTATTCTTCCTGCGGTCGGCGGGTCATGTCTATCAGCGATACCACCGGGATGATTTTTGCTGGTAAGATCAACGTTGAGAAGGAAACTTATATCCGTTGTCGTCCTTCTTGAGAACCAAGTCAGTTTTCTTCACCTTTCGTTGGATTTCTCTTCCACGGAGTGCAAAGTGATATGTCATATAGAATCATACCTCCATTGCAAGAACCTCCGGCTCCTTGTATCGTAAGAAGTTGTCCTTCAGCTTCTTGAAGTCATCGTCTGGGATATAGTCCTTGTGGTTGACTGGTCGTAGTTCTCTTTCTCGCTTCAGTTTCTTGAGAACTCCATCCAAGCAGTTGTTGGAACGGGCAAATTCAGGATCGCTGATGATGTTCCATTTCCGCTTTTCGAAAACGTGTCGGCGTAGAGCCGCCCTGAAGCACAGATAACTTGAACGTTGATATGAACCGCCATCTTGTCGTTTAGCAGCAACGTAAAGTTTGCACAGGAAAGTATTCAGTTCAGACTTTGAACACTTCTCAATTTTTATTGGACGTGGTTGCTTCTTGTTGAACGTATTGAAAACAGAAAGCCAACATTGATTTGCTTCCTTGGTTTTGGCAGGTACTCTGGAATCCAGCCTTGAACTTCCGTCAGATCCTCTTCACTTACAGATCGGAATCTTTTAGGGTTGGGCTCTGCCATTGTTATAAAGAAATGCGGTTCTACTCTCAATCTTACACACTGTGAATGATAGATAGTTTATCCTCTCTTTCCTATAAATATAATCTATAGAAGAATGCAGCAAGAATGTTATAAGTATGCGTACGTTAAACGTTGTACTATGTACTATATTTTGTACATTGTCTAATGTTGTACCATACATCGTACATACTTAGGATAATTGTGATCTTTTACCGTATTACGGTACAATTATTGTATGGTATGCCGTATATGCACGATACGTACTATTTCTACACCTCTTGGAGTTGTAATATAACAATTGAGCGGGCTTTAAACTAATCCAAGGCCCTGAACGCGTCATCAAAGAGTAGTAAAATTACAAGTGAGCGGGCTTTAAACACTGATAAGGCCCTCGGCGGGAAAGTTGCTGATTGGTCAGCTCCTAGGCAACGGGATTGACCTCGTTCTAAAATGAAATAAATCAAAAAGACGACGAAGAGTCGACATGGAGATAATAACCGTAAGATAGTAGCTGTGAATGAACATGATAACAGCGCACATGTCACAATACACCCACAGACATAACGCTTACGCAGCACCCTATTCAGACAGTATTATCTGATAGCAAGTGTACAGTGTATCTCCGTCCAAAATATGTGAATACTTTGAAGTAATAATTCACCACCCGCGTGCCAACGCTCTACGAGTACTAACGCTTCCACACACTTCAGTTTTCAGGTCTGTGCCTAGATTCCTGGCCCTGAATTTAGGCCCGGGGCTGAAATCTCGACAGCCTTGCTGCCACGGTCACACTTGAGTCTGCTTCCTCACCGTTACGCCAGGTATACATGTACATACATTTGTAAATGTATACGAGTACTGAGGTAGATTATTCATTCCTTCAGACTGTATTTGAAGGATTCTTCAAAAGTAAAATGGATACTTATCAAGGGAGTTTCCTGGAAGGGTGGCTGAGATGAAAGGGACGTGAAAAGGCCCTAAAGGGACGCGTATTGTAAGGGGAAAGGACTATGCAGAAACACTGCTCAAGAAAACCTACAGCTAAAACCCACCAGGGAGAAACGGAATGCAGGAGCGCTAGCCCCCCGAAATCAGGAATTCCAGCCATACTGTAATATCTAGCTCATCTACCTTTTTTGTACTGTAGCCGGTTCACGCCATCACACATGTCATTCTTACACAGCCCAGATAACATGGATAATGATTGAATGACAAGAGCCGCGCTGCAGGAGTCATAGCCAGCCATACATGTACCGCGGGAGGCATAGTCATAGGCCATTGAAAAGCCAACGCTTGTAGGTTGTATTGCTCCCTGCAGTCCCTGGCGCTAGACCTAGACCTACACTTGTACTTGTAGCGCTGATTGATTTCTGCGTCTTCGATCATACCAAATTTGTAGTGTGTTTGAGAGGATTTTGTCTTTGAGAACGCTTGTCAAGACTGCACTGCATGGTGTGAGGGTACGGTGATATCAGCTGAGCGCTTGGCACGCGTGCACGGCAGCTGTCGAACAGGCAGGATCGCTTGGCTGCTCCTTGCCACCGTACCGTACCTAGACTAGGCTACAATGTAGGCTAGAGTGAACTGTTATGAACGTAGTCATTGTGATCCTTACGACATTAGGTGGGTGGCAGGACTTGTGAGGTTGGGACAATCGCGAACGCCATAATCCTTTCATTCGGAGGCTTGATCGCTTAGAACCAGGGAGGGGATTTTACGAATCACCTGTAGATTTACCAGTAGCTAGCAGGCGACGCGTGCTGTGTGTCGTGCGGATCACTTTTCGTTCCAGAAGTCAGTTTTAGTTTCCCTGTAGATCTTGTTCTGAGGCCGTTCGAGTGCTTGCTGGCGAAGAGCGGTGATCTACTGTACGTGCACCAAGGGATAGTCGTTCGCTGCAAGATTCAACTCGTGGGATTTGTCCGCTGTGATCGGTAAGTGTCAGGCCTGTGGTGCGTTAGGAGCGAAGGAATTTCATCTTTAAAAATGTGCAGCAAAATAAAGACAACACGTTTTTTGAAGTGTGAGCGATGTACATGACACATGTGTGACATTGTATACTTTGCTCAAAATTAATGCAGCATTGGAAATTTAAAAATTATATTTTTTGGAAAATTTGCAATCATTGCTGTGGTAAGGTGGCTGGCGAATGGCGTGGCTCACGCCTAGTAGTACTATGCCGCAGTATGCGAACAGTTCGGTTTGTGTACACTCATCTTCAGTGAGGGGTTTGACATACAGTCACGTGTCCCTGCTAGACCAAATCCTAGTGCACTGTGCACTGTGGTGTGCTGGTGTCAGTCTCTGGCTCTACTCTACATGTACTAGCAAGAGTACCGGTAGCTCAAGGCTGTGCAGCTCTGTGGGTACAAGTAGTAGGTTAACAACGGGGCCCGTCGACAGCGGAAACTCACCGATCACATGGTGTAGCATTCACGACGTATATTCCCAGCCTGCTTTTAGCCAGCAGTGGAGTAGTAAAAAAATGGCACACACTGAAAGAAACTCACTCAACTTACACCGGCATCAACACGATCATGGCAGACATCCGACCAGTGCACATGCTGGCCTTCGTTGTACGTACTGCCATGGACATGGAAATCCAGCCGGAGGGCAAGCGACCCCAGCACGCTGGCCATGCAGCCGTGAGCACGCGGCATACGCTATCAACATATGCACTGGTAGCACAGTGCTGCTGCTGTAATGAAATCCGGTCGATGTACTCATTAATATACGCGCCGGGCGCTGCGCAACCCCGGACCTGCGAACACTGGGCTGCGGAATGATGCAAGGCGCGAACTTGAGTGCCGCGACTGGATTGCGCTGAGTTGGACTGCACTAGCGCACTGACTCTGTGCATTCAATGTTCCGTATGCACTGAGGGCGCCGGTCCCGGCGGCCATTCGACTGGATTTCCATGTCCACGCCAGTGCATGTAGTAGGAAAGGTACTTGTACTGTCGGGGACATGGAATCCGGTGGAATGACGAGGCCGGGTCGGCGCCCTCAGTGGCTACAGAACGTTGCATGCACACTCACGGCTGTATGGCCGGCGCCCTGGGGCCGCTTGACCTCCGACGACCGGATTTCCATGTCCACGCCAGTACGTGGACCATGTGATGTGAGTTTCGCCATCAGAGACCAATACTGAGAATTACACTCTCTTCGGCGGTTATAACTATGCAGTCATGTACATTTTCTAGTGCATGTAAAACAAATTGTACTTTTGAAGTACGAATCATCTAAATAGAATATTCCTGCTGGCTTTTCAAAGACTGATTTTGACCGAATTAGGCTAAAAACCCGATTTTGACCGAATTGAGCTAGACACCTGCTGTGGTTGGCAGCATGGCTGGAAAAAAGTCCTTCCGCTTCCAAGCAGGACTTGAAAATGGTCCGCATGACAGGACCCGTGGGTAACGTGATATTACCTTTGACTGACAGCACGTCCTGTTCTGTCCTGTCTTTGCCCTGTGCTCTATGTGCTAGCTGAACGCTGCTCTACTAATCTACTAATTGCTGATATCCGTGACCCTAACACTGCAACGTCTGCATAAGACACGCCACTAACGGATGACTTCCTAATTGCTAATCACCAATTAACCTTTGATATTCATCTCCAATAGCGGTGATACGCATCGATCTAATGAACTAATCCCTCAACTGTGGAACACTGAGAGTTTCACACGGCCTGGTATCTGTCTTGATCTGTCTGAAGCGTGTCCTGCCTCGTAATAGTCTTGTGTAGGGCTGCTGCTGCTGCTGCTGTGTGAAATTCCGGGGTTTGTGTGTCCCTTGGCTATTCCGACGGGTGGTTGTTATCGTATGGGCTTGGCTTGGCTGGTGTCCTCGTTCCTTCTGGCGTGCGTCATGAATTGCCGCTGGCTCTTCACCATCCTCTGGTTCCTGATCCTGCTGGTCGTGTGGCCGATATCCATGCTCTGCGGCATGCTGTATGCGATGGTGCTGCCGTTCAAGGCATGCTGTGCAGGATGCACGGTGGCACTCACAAATTTTCTCATGAAAGGTGTGACACTGGCGCACGATGTGGCTGCCAAGATGGTGGCTGGCTCTAGTTTCTGCTAGCCGCCTAGCTGGCTTCTGGACACTCTAGCTGTGTTTGCATCTGTCCTTGTCTTCAGTCTGAAATATTGCAACACTGGCCACACACAACAACACCGTTATAGTATGCAGTTCGTGCTGCACATTCTGTTTCGTTTTTGCTTCGTATGTTTAACAAAACTTAGTGTGTCTACACCCGTCAACTGCTTCATCATACCCAGGAAACGGCCGTGCACATGCACACGTGTGTATGAAAAATTGCACTGTTGGTTTTATGATTTAGTTTACCCCCAATTGAACGGGGTTGGTATAGAAGAAGAGTATTTTCAGAGCCTATCATCAAGATCAATTCCAGTATGCTACTTGCATTTTACTGTCCAAGTATGCCTTCACCTCTGGCCCAGAGGCCATCATGCAGTGTTTTCTGTTGAGCTGAACATGCCTTGAGTTAGGGGTTGTCGAAAACGGTTTTTGTCTTCTCTGAAACGAACATCGTTCATTTCGTCATGTGCTCCGATCCCCTCCCTCGGAAAAAAACCGCAGCTTGCTATGGTGGCCGACAAAAATCGCATGCTAGGTACAGTGTCGGTGGACTAGCGATTTTGCCCCCCCCCCCCCCCCCCACCGAATGATGTTCGCTTCAGGGATGACAAAAAGCTTTTGCGACGACCCCTCTAGTTGTGCCTGTTGAGGGTGGTCGTGACTCTGTTCACGTGTTGACCGAGATGACACCAAATCTCAGACACTGACACTGAGCGGGTTTCGTAGCTCCCAGTCTGCACGGCAGAGGCAGGTCGGACCGCAGTCCGTGATGAAACTTAACTTATTCAGTCCAGGCCAGGGCGGGTGATATCATCAGTGTTCCCACGCAGTCCGGAATCACTGGGGATGCCGGCGTGTTTGATAAGTGCATGCCCGACAAGTGTGCATGTGATCAGAAGTACCTACACCCCCCCCCCCCCCTCCAAGAGTGTGTAACTCCGTCTATGGGGTACCGACATAACCCCCAAGAGTGTGCAATGGCGGCTATGGGGTCTGCAACGGCAGAAATTCACATCACGTCACGAACCCGTACAGGTTATTTGCACCCCGCGCAGGATAGATACAGGGTTGTACGCAGTCCTGCTTTGGGTTCAACTCTCTTGTGGTCACTTTGCACTGCTTGCCAGCGTAACCTTTTGAACCATGTCACATGATGTGACATGGTGTCGCAGCAGCAGCTGCAGCACTGTATAGAGGTTGTGTGGGCAGTTGCACACTCTACGTCTTGGACTTTTGGGGGTTATGTACTTGACGTGATGTAGCAGGAGCAGAGGACACGCTACGGTTATGGTATTGGTCAAATCACTTTGGTCCCTAGGTACCACATGAGATAAGGTACCGGTAGTCCGCGACAGGAGTTCAGTTTGAGTGATGATTTGGGTTGTAAATTTCAAAAAAATATTCCGGGAAGGGTCCCGGGCTCGCCCTGGTGTACTTGTTCACCCCACCTCGAAATCTCAGTCCATCCTCGTCAGCTCAAAACACCGCTTGGGCGTCAGATAGCAAGATGAAGCCATAAGACACCACTAAATCTGTCCATTATGTAGTTTGGAAGTTAAAAAATAATCACGAACTGGACTCCAAGGTTTATTCGGCAATCACGTTTCCTGAGTGTTTTATCTGTTATGTTTCTTGTCTTCTTGGTACAGCATATTAAAGCTTAGTCAAGTTCTCAAGCAGAGGGAGTGAGGATGAATCTCCGCTGGCTCTTCACCATCGTGTGGTTCCTGCTGCTGTTGCTTCTATGGCCGCTATCGTTGCTCTGCGGAATGCTGTACGGGCTGATCCTGCCGTTCAGTGCCTGCTGCAATTGCACGTCATCTCTCACCGATATCCTTATGAAGGGAACGCGCCTCGGCTACCACCTCGCCAGTAAGATGGTGTCTGGCTCCGATAGCTGTTAGCAGGCCCAGGCCTAGCTTGTGAGTGGTAGCGTCCAACACAAATGTGTGTGTGTGTGTGTGTATACCGGTAAGATGTGTCTGACTCTCAGGGTCAAAGCTACTCACAACACATGTATGAGTGTCCAGTAGCCAACCTGAGCAACTGTGGCAATCAACTGCTATAATCATATAGCTATGTAGCGAACACTCTCCCCGGTGCTGGTGGGGCCTGCCTCCGTGTACTATGAGGTCAATGTTTGTTTTCTTCTGTGGGATAGAATCCAAAATGAAGTATAGCAATCTTTGAATTCCACGGCACCGGAGTTTCGCAGTCAGTTCAAGAGTTGACGCACTCCCAAGATGTTTATTCCGACACTAGAAATGGCCTTTTCTATAGCAATTGCAGTCTCTTCACCATATCTATTATTGGACGTATTGTTATCAAAACGCTGTTCATCCGGAGTATAGTCCACTGGCGCATGAGGTAACAGTGGTTGTTTAATAACTCGATTTTTATTTCTCACGTTTTCTTTTTCGTATCCTTTTTTACCATTTTAGGCATTGCGCTTTTCTTCATTTAGAAGCTGGAAAGTATTTAAAAATCTCTAGGTTTTTATTTGTGGCTTCATAAAATCTCGTCTTGGAGACCCTTGACTTTTCCCCTTTTATTGGCATATTTTGTTTTGTTTTTTTGATATTAATACACGGCTGAAGGTAGTTATGGAAGGTGATCTTATCGGATCATTTCCAGTAAGAATGCCTGGTCAAGAGTGATACCTAAACTCATTGCATGTAAAGTTGTAAGCCGTAGTGGACTGGTCACAGTTAGAGTGAATATGGCCGTCTTCAGGTAACTGGCCAAGCATACTCGTGTGGGTCTTATCTTCAACGTGTGGTATTGTCTTGAATGTGTGTGAAGGCACCCCAGTCTAGCCAGCACGCTGAGCACCGGACGTCTGATTCAAGCTACCAACTACAGCTGTTGCCACGTACCTAGTAATAACCGATAGTCCTACACCGCTAACTCAAATGTGTCCAATGACGTTCCGTCCCGGGGAAATTCGTGGAAGAAAAGCTCGGAAGTCACAGCACGATTTGCGGCAAAATTGCGAGGCATTTGCGACAGGTTTTGGTAAACTTGCATGTGGATTGGCCAATCTGGTTTACCCGCCAGAAAGCTGTTTACATTGATTGTAGTGTTTTCGTGTGCGCGCGCGAGAGAGTGAGAGAGAGAGAGAAACTTACATCATGAAACACATGCACTTCAGTCCTCAAGTAACCCTCTTATATACTCTTGCTTCAAGTAAGCAGCGTTCCTTGGAGCACAGCTCTCCTTGTAGACTGCTTGCTGAGCCCGAGGGGGACCAAACCAATAACGTTGTAACTTGCTACATCAGATCGAAAACACCGACCAATGGCAAGAACACATTAACGTGAATACAAGAATCCCCAACACACACACACCATGCACCATGTATAAGCCCATCAAGAGAACCATGCAGATCTGCAAATGCGTTGGATGTGCATCCACAAATCAAGACAGATAAGCTGAGATAACCGTCTAATCCACACAACTGGGGAAGCCATGTGAATCGACTACCGATGCACACCTGGTCTAAACCACACGGAGCACATCGGAATAGGACGGTCAAGACAGTTACCTATGCACACCCTACGCTTGCTGGGGTAACCAGTATAGCCAGCACGCTGCATCGATAAAAGCAGACACTAGATGAACTGGTACCTTGAAGTGAAATTGGAGTTACAGTTACATGGACTTTACCAACCAGCCTCGGTAACTGAGTACTAGGAACCCAGGGCCAACTGCCATACCAACAACCCCTGCCATGAAAGCTCCATAGTAACGGCACACTGGATTGTGGAACCGAAACTAGTCCAACTTCCAAATGCCTCGGCAAGAAGGTAGCCTTCCGTCATGTTGCCACACACACACACACAGAGCGCATGCACAGTGGCACAAACGACAAGATAATCATTCAACAGTAGATATCGACCATCGACGAAGAACAAGGAGACGTACAAGCTAAAATCTGGACGAGGACGGCACTGGAAATATTCTGAAAATGCGCATCATTAGTATAAAAAAAAACCCTGACACATAGCAGAGATTTCAGTAAAATGGCAGTAACACGATGTTCACTCCGAACACCTCCGAGGCAAGTTGGCCAATGCATTAGGAGTGTTAAGACAGCCGAAGGTTAAAAAAATAATAAAAAAGGCACAGAGAGAGAGGTAAGAAGAACTCAACTTCAGGGTAGAAGAACTACATGACATTGTACATGGAAATAAGAATTCAACTGAAGACGGCACAGAGAGAAGAGCCATTGCACGAAAATATGCGCAGAACCACCAGCAAATACTGAGAAGCTCGAAAGAGATAAGATTCGGTGTGCAACAAAAAAGAAGAAAAAGATGGTTGCTTCAACAGATGTCAATATAAATGAGTGGATTGTTGATGGCATGGAATGAGCAAGTACGTTATCAGAAATTAGCCGCGCTAGCAGCGGTTTGGGGCCAGCGAAAACGAAATCAAGAGGCTGTCAGAGAAACGAGGACATGGAACACGGACATTAGAAAGTCGCCCACATGATTATATTGATGAGTCCAGTCGAGAGAGTGGACGAGAGTCATGCACGGCAGCACCACCACCGTCAGCCTGCAACGCCTGCCAAAAGGGGCTCGAGCAGCGTTAGCAGATCGAGAATAAATAGAGGATAGGAAGAGGAGAGCTGCTCCAGCCGGCAGTGGCGGCCGGGCGGCATTAAACGGGGTTAGAATCATTACACAAAACATATCAACAGCAGCAGCAACACACGCCTGTTGCCTAGCCAACAACGGACTGCATCGCACATGCGCATGCACGTCAGGAAGCAGAGCATCAACATAAATGTTACGAAAAGCAACTCTTGGCGAGATGGATGCAGGAAAGAAGTCAGGAACGGATAGTCAGAAGTTAGTAAGCCATTCCTGAGAGAAAGACGCGCACAACACAGTGCACCGGGGAAGATATCTGTACAGTATCCGACCAAAACACGCCAGGGTCCAAACAACGCCGGAAGGCAAGAATCATACACAGAGCATCGGCGAGAAAACCACCAGGCTCGCAGCAGACTATTCTGTAAAACTGGTGGCAGCGATGCAACAGGCGAGCAACTCAACTCCGAGGACTGGAAACGGTAATTGCGACGACGACGACCAATGGGAAGCAGTACATCATGAGCAAAAAAATGTGTGCAAAAGTGAAATGTAATATCCGATGACGAAGGCCATGGTGGCCTGGAGCGCAAGAGTTAAAGACGGATGTCACATACAGCAGCCAACCGACCACTCCGACCAGCGGAGGATAGGCACATGCATTAAACTGATACGGCTTGACGGACACGAACAAGAACAACTTCTTCTTTTCCACAACAACAATAACAACAACGATGACGACGACGACAACAACGATGACGACAACAAACCACACTTGCAGATGAAGATGGGCCGATGATTGAAGACAACATGAGAGTAGAGACCGGACTGGCAGAGAACCTCACAGCGGTGATTCTGAGAACGGCAACTGCACTGACGAACAGAGAGCGAGTTAAATCCACAGAAGAGAGAGAGAGAGAGAGAGAGAGAGAGAGAGAGAGAGACGGAGAAGCGACGATAACTCTGGATAAACGGTGCCAAGGGAGCACGGACAAGTCAGTTTGTCCACCGGACATGGTTAAAAACAATTGAAAAGCATAAAACAAGCTCCTCTCTTGCCAGCATCACCATACAGCAGTGATGCGCATACAAAGATGATGCTGGCTGGACACAGCGGGATAGCAACAGCAAGCTAGGTTCATTACCCGGATTGTCAGCGACCGGCAACCGGTGATTGGAAGCTTGGTGGGAATTGCGTGAATGAGCCGTTTGGCGGCGGAGTGTTGTTGTGCAGTAGACCACGCGTCTCATCAGTCGGGGTGCTACCAGGCAAAGCAGACACACTGCCATAATAGTCCTGCAAGTAAAACAACAATAGCAACAACAACGAGAGAATAACATATTTCAAACAACACCACCAGGAGCAGCAGCAGCAACACCATCACCACCAGCAACAGCAGCAGCAACACCAACACCAACAGCAGCAGCAGCAGCAACAGCAGCAGCAGCAGCAACAGCAGCAGCAGCAGCAACAGCAGCAGCAGTAACAGCAGCAACAGTAACAGCAGCAGCAACAGTAACAGCCGCAGCAACAGCAACAACAGCAGTAGCAACAGCAGCAGCAGTAGCAACAGCAGCAGCAGTAGCAACAGCAGCAGCAGTAGCAACAGCAGCAATAGAAGCAGCAACACCAACAGCAGCAGCAACAGCAGCAGTAGCAACAGCAGCAGCAACAACAATAGCAGCAGCAACAGCAACAAACATAACAAACAAGTACGATATGGGCTATCAACGCAAAGCCGTGTGCGTCAGGCAACAGGAAATCTACGGGGTTTCCTAGAACAGATGGGGTAGTAGGACACTGCAGTGTGTGTGCTTGAAACACGGCACATCTGTTCAGGACAGTGCTAACTAAACCAAACAGGGCACATCTGTTTAGGACAGTGCTAACTAAGCCAGCTTGCAGCAGCTCCTAGAGAGCTGCTGCAGATGATCACATGACTGTACACGGTGCTTATGCTGACTGCAACTCTACTCAACCACTGCATCAATGGCCCCTATTATGGGTGACATGATGATGATGTAGGCCAGGTTGGATCCACCGTCCACAAGGCATACTATTATACACTTTCCACACAAATGCATTTACATGACCTAGATGAGAGAGAGAGAGCAAGAGAGAGACAGAGAGACAGACAGACAGAGAGAGAGAGAGAGAGAGAGAGAGAGAGAGAGAGAGAGAGAGAGAGAGAGAGAGAGAGAGAGAGAAAGAGAGACAGACAGACAGACAGAAAGAGAGAGAGAGAGAGAGAGAGAGAGAGAGAGAGAGAGAGAGAGAGAGAGAGAGAGAGAGAGAGAGAGAGAGGGGGAGGGAGAGAGAGATAGAGAGAAAGAGAGAGAGAAAGAGAGAGAGAGAGAGAGAGAGAGAGAGAGAGAGAGGAGAGAGAGAGAAAGAGAGAGAGAGAGAGAGAGAGAGACTGATAGCCTTGCCACAAAAAAAGAACAAATACAAGAATAGAACAGTCCCTTGTGCCAAAGTGCTCATACACAGTAGGGCTGCTCAATGAAATCCCATCACACAAGTCAATGCCACGTCGGGCGCCATGCAGCTCCAGACCTGTCAACACTGGTCTGTGCAGCGGTGCAGAGCGCACACTTGACTACTCATGTCATCGGATTTTATCGAGCAGCACAGTACATGTACCTATAGATTTTTTCTTTTTTTTCCCTACAAAATCCACAATCTCCAGACACTGGGGTGAATAATGGAGTGTGGTGGTGGAGCCCATTAAGCTCCGCCGACCAGAGGTCTCGGCTTCATAGCTCCATGGACGCACAGACAAGACTCTTACGTTGACAGGGCGATAGGGCACATCAACATGTGGCTCCTCATGGTCAGTTGACATCTCCCTGGTCTTCTCCGGCACTTTGAAAACGAATATCATGGCCCAGATAGGAAGAAGGTAGCGGAAGATCTGATCATGAATAGGTAACACACAAACCAACAAAGAATGCTTGCTTGCCGGGAGACCAGGACCCATTCAAAACAAGGAAGCAACAAACTTCGTTCTCTTCGTTTTCGCCACAAAGCAAAGATGACAAATTTATGAGCCAGTGTTTAGTCCAGCATTCGCAGCCAGGGGCAGGTGGAACACGCTAGCATAGGATAGGATTATGAAATCCGGTCGGAGGTCAAGCGGCACCAGCGCACTGGCCATACAGCCATGAGTAGCACTGAGTACGCATATGATCAACACGTGCACTGCATGCAAACATTCTATACGCACTGAAGGCGCCGCCCCCCGCGTCATTCAACCGGATTTCCATGTCCACGACATTAGCATGTGCACGCATGCTCCTACAGACAGACAAACACACATATAATATACGCACGCAACTTACCCGGACAATTATGTAGCGGGCAGTATCACCGCCACCCAATTGCTCTCCCTAAAAATAAAGACAAACACACAAGCACAAAACAGTAGTGAAGAGCGACAGCAAGAACAGCAGCAACTACACCAAAAGCAACAGAAATAGCAACAGCAACCAAGATGATCACAGATGTTCAAATACATCTTTTTAGGAGATGGGTACAGTAGGAGCAAATTGCATGAAAAGAATAGATACAGTTGCTAGGAACTTGCTGCTAACAGTTCAGGACCAATTGTGTAACCCTGCAATTGCTGCACATCTAGTTTACGGATTTTTGAATATCATGATCGCGAGGGATGCACTTGTGTGCAAAGAGTGCTCAGCACGCCGTGGAAGCAGAGCGTAGAACACTCAAACAGTGCGGGGCAGGAAGGCTCTGTGGTCGTAACACAGAGCGAGTTTCATGCACAACCATGCAAATATCTGTTTGACTGTGAATAGCATGGTCGCACTGATCTTGGCAAAACCTTCACAACAATACAGGCTGTGCCCAGCATTTCTATCTGCATTCGCCACCTTTTTCATTGGGGAGATCTGCCTGTTTGGTTTGCGAATTAAAATAAACACAACAACAAAAGGATTTTTAAAAACGCCGTGAGCATCTTACCAGTATTCTCTCACAGTCAGTGTTAGGATCTGTAATGATAGCAGACAACACAATGCACGCACACACATACACACACACATACACACACACACATACACACAAGAACACGTGAACATGCATACACAGCAGCCATCACCATGAAGATCATCAGTAGGCCAGCGTAGAGCAATGAGAAAAGCCTGCAAGGAGAAACTACACGACGGAATATACTGTAAAACATGTAATTTTAGGTGCATTAAAATTTCGGTGCCAGGGACCTGCCAGGTTTCAGGTGTAATCTAGAATTAGGTGACCAGCGTTTCCTTCACATACAGTGCATACTCTAGTGCCTTTTAGGTGTAATTTCAATTTAGGTGCCTGGTTTCTCTACCGAAATCACCGAAATTAAAGTTACACCGAAAATTACATGCTTTACAGTACATGTATATGGTTGCGGAAAGGAGTTTTCTGCATTATCCCAAGATGTGCATACACAGGATATTAAAGCTGCAATGCTCCAAACCAATGCAGCTGGAACTAATGACGCGATTTCTGTACTCACGACAATCGGTGTTAATATACACGACTGTCAGGGGAGTCAGAAGTCAACAGAGAGCAAACGTGCCTGGTTGCTGACAGCCCAACGGAGAGGAGGAAAAGACAGCATGGGGTGGTACTGGAAATCAACACCAACAGCAGTCTAATAAGCAGCAAAGGCGCTACCAGTTTCAGCATCCTAGCATAACTAGCTGTGCACGGTGAAATCCAACCTGAAATGCATGTTTGGCACCCACAACTTGCACGGCCCTTGAAGCCCTGGAAGCGATACGAATGCTGCTTGACAAACACATGTACAAGTACAGTGATGTAATCGTACCTGGTCCAGCGTGTTATGCAGTTTTGCACTTTGGGTTGGATTTCAGTGAGCACAACTGAACTTACTTGTCAGAGCAAAGACATCCACTGTGACCGCACAGATACTGGATGCAAAGAACGCCGTGATCATGGCCCACAGACCCATCTTCTGCGATCGTCGGCTACTGGAGGACATGCGGATGGAGTTGATTTTTCTAACAGGACAAGGCACACAGTGATAACAAATGGTGTTAGGTCTACACGATAAACAGAGCAACAGCAGTGACCGGCTGCAATGAGTAGCAGCAGTGAGCAGCAGCAGCAACAGCAGCAGTAGCAACAGCATCAGCAGCAGCAACAGCAGCAGCAACCAGCACCAACACCAGCAGCAGAAGCAGCAGTGACCAGTGACCAGCAGCAACAGCAACAGCAGCAGCAACCAGCAGCAACAATAGCAGCAGTGACCAGTGAGCAGCAACAGCAACAGCAGCAGCAGCAGCAACAGCAGCAGCAGCAGCACCAGCAGCAGTACATGGCAAGAGGGAGATAGTACATACAGATGGGCATGATACCGTACGGTATCGATCACATGCATGTACATGTTTCTCGCACAGTAAATGTTACTGGAGCAGGTCCTGGCAATACTACGACCCGAGGCCAGGCAAGCATCACCTGTAACCACCAGCAGCAGCAGCAGCCATATCACAAGGTGACTGCAAGTGACAACACCAACAACACCAGCAGCACCAGCAGCAGCACCACCACCACCACCAGCACCAACAACGCTTCATTTGCCACACCCCACTAACACCTCCACTAAGAACAGCACCGCCCAAACTCTTAAGCGGCATTAGCAGCATCGTGGCGACCACCAGAACCACTAACATCACCAACATCACTAACACCAGCAGCACCACTCTGGAGTGGCAGTAGCAGCAGCACCAACCTGGAGTGGCAGTAGCAGCAGCACTAACCTGGAGTGGCAGTAGCAGCAGCACTAACCTGGAGTGGCAGTAGCAGCAGCACTAACCTGGAGTGGCAGTAGCAGCAGCACTAACCTGGAGTGGCAGTAGCAGCAGCACTAACCTGGAGTGGCAATAGCAGCAGCACCACCCTGGAGTGGCAGTAGCAGTAGCAGCAGCACCCTGGAGTGGCAGTAGCAGCAGCACCCTGGAGTGGTAGCAGCAGCACCACCCTGGAGTGGCAGTAGCAGCAGCAACCTGGAGTGGCAGTAGCAGCAGCACCTTGGAGTGGCAGTAGCAGCAGCACCACCCTGCAGCGCCAGTAGCAGCAGCACTACCAGCCTGCAACGACAGTAGCAGCAACACCGCCGCCACCACCACCAGCAGCCTGCAGCGCCAGTAGCAGTGAGAGCAGGTCCAGCTTACCGTGTGATTTGAACACCAGCCAATAGGAAGACAAGGCTGAGTGCTATCTCTCCTGAAGCAAACTGTATCCAAGAGATGTCTGCAAATGCAAATGCACGAGCAACAACACCACACAAAGGATTTACACACCAAGTAGACAAAATATCTGATCAACAAGCACTATGGTATGGTATGGCGTGGTAATCTTTATTTACTTTATCAAGCAAACAAGGAATGGTGCCTTCCCACCGACCAAGGGCTACTTCTCACAGAATGATCAAAACTATACAGACATGATTACAGTACTGTCAGGCGCCGAAGAACTGCGGAGTCCGGGTTCTAGCCTAGCCCGTTCTTATTTCTAGCGAACACAGCAGTTTCGTTCTTATTCGATGGTACAGTCTTACATGTACATTTATGCAGAGTTATACGTCTGAGTGTAGATTATAGTGTAGATTATGGTTTCCGTTCTTATGTGCAAATAATCCAGCCCACACCGTTCTTTAAAAAAAATGGTGAAATTCTAGCCTGGCGGTTCTTCGGCGCCCAACAGTACTGCATGAGGATATTCATAAGTTACAGTCGCCCGTGCCGTCTCGCTAAATGCTACAACTTCCTGGGCTGTACTGCACTGTGTGCGGACTGGTGGTGGAAGTTGGAACAGTACGAGAGTCCCAGTCAGCCGCTTACCATAGCACTCGCTGTGATCCGGCGCCGTGGTGGACAGTGCATAGATCAGGGCGGCGATGAAATACAGAAAGATCAGACCAAGTACTGGCACAAACACCCTACAGCAGAGAGATGGCAGCAACAACACAAACAGCAACTTTCACGAGAGGAAAGACACCGTCGATCCAATGTTTATAAATAATAGGTTTACAATCATTACTTTATCGGCACAAGCACAGAGCAGTTACAACAATGGCAAATGAAATCCAGCTGCTTGGATGACACCTAACTACACCATAGCTTGGTGGTAGAGCATCGCTGGTCATGAGCGAGGGTCCCTGGTTTCGAGTCCTGGTGGTGACAGGCAATTTTTCCTTCAGACTTTCCCATTTGCATCTTTCCCTGAAACCAATGAAATCCAGCCCAATAAGAATAACAGCCCTGGAACTGCATAACCTTAACACTATGTACACAAGCGGGCTTTCAGCAAGCATACCGTAAAAGTCCGTAAATAAGTACGTATTTACTTTCGAATTTAGTGACCACACCCGTACTAACTTTCGGGCGGGTACTGACTTTCGGGCACGAACTAACTTTCGGACCTGACTTGGGTGTAGTGGAGAAGTCATTTTCATGTCGATGTACATACTATGTGCTGCATGTGCGCACCGTACCGGTACTCATTTCGGGCAGTATGTTTATCGGGCTTGACTTGACTTCAACAGACAGATCCAAAAGAATGAAGGGGGTATTTTTTTCGGGCACGTACGTATTTACGGACTTTTACGGTATTGAATATTCCTGAGCCACTACCAACTCAGGGCTGGTCAAAAATTGCACGACAGGAACAGAGGCACAGAAGAATACCCACCAGATGAATGTTTTCTCGTGTCTCAGTTGATGGGCAGCCAGTGAACAGTAAAAATATACAACTGTCAGAGCCTGAAGTGAACATACAAACAGACGGACCGCGCACAAACACGCACACGCACACACACACAGGCGAGCACACACAGGCAAGAACGCACACATAGGCACATTGACTGAGCACACCAACGACTAACGTCTGAAGGCTTGCAGCACACACATCCATGAAGATGATAGGGCAGTCAACAAGTACATGTAGGGAGGTTTCGCTCTACGGAATTACGTATGAAAATAACGTATGAACTGCACGGAATTTTCATACGTAAAAATCAGAGCTGCTGGGTTTCACTCTACGTGATTTCTCCACGACTGCTTACATGCGTTGTTACTGTGGAGACGCGTTGGCTGCATGCGCCCACCGCATGCACCATGAACCGAAACTGCGTTTTCAATGATATTTTGCACGTGGTGTACGGTGTGTGCACCTTGTTTTTCGCGCGGCTTGAATGTTGCCATGGACAAATGCGAAAAAATATTTCAAAAAGTCCTACGGAGGACCCAACGTAGGAAAGAGCTTTCCTACGGAAATCCGTAGAGAGATTTACGTATGAAAGTTGCCCTCGCTCCCCGGCGCGTACGACATACGGATTTTCATACGTAATTACGTAGAGAGAAACCTCCCTATTGAAGGGAAAGAAGAAAGAATGTAAAATAAAACTTAAAACAAAAGGAGGAGGAGGAGGAGGAGGAGGAGGAGGAGGAGGAGGAGGAGGAGGAGGAAGAGGATGAGGAGGAGGATGAGGAGGATGAGGAGGAGGATGAGGAGGAGGATGAGGAGGAGGAGGAGAGAGAGACACACACACACACACACGGCACAAGCTGCACAACATGAGCTCACTCTTGTAAAAAGGGTGAGACCTACCTGTACTGATTTGAGAAAGAGTGCGACGAATGCAAGTTCAATCTTGGCCACTAGTATCCAGTGAATAAAAAGAAGAATGCACTCCAAGCCGGCGGCGTAGAAGATCAAGTACTGATGCCAGAGAGAGTGGCGACGATAGTGGAAGAAAAATAGCTGCAAAATAAAAACACAGAGAAATTGCACCAGAGAGGATAGGATGGTTACTCAGTGAGTGCGTTTGATTACGCCCGCGAATCGATTCATGAATCCATTCGTGAATCGCCCCTGGCTATTCACACCACCGCATGTGAATAGAGTGCATGGATTCCGAATCGATTCCAGGGCTCATGACATGAAATCGAACGGCGAGACTCCATTCATGAATCGATTCAAGTGCGTAATCGAACGCACTCAATGCAACACGATACAAGGATTGGCCAGTTTTCCGCCACAGATCTCGGAATGGCACCTAGGAATGAAACATGGCTGCAGCCTTTTCGCGAGGCAATTTGTCCCATAGTTGGCAGGTGGCAGCAGCTCCGGTACACTTGCGATGTGTGCGTTGTCCAGCACGGCAAGATCATTGAGCAGAACTGTAAAACTCAGATGTTCAAGAAAATTGCAGTATGCATGCAGTATGCATGCGGACTGCTGACGTCAAAATACATTAGCACCAAGAGTACATAAACCAGAGTGTGCAACTCAATACGATTTCGGGAAAGCAAATTCGTCACTTTCACCATTACTGAGGAGTCATGAAGACCGTAATCCTCGCCTGCAGTATTGCATTGCATCAGCAAAATCTGACACATCTTCTTTACTAATGTCAAAACCGATATAAAGGACGAACCACGCCTTCCGGAACTCAAACGCAAAGTTTAAGTCTAAATTCATATTCTAGACAGCACACAGCACACAACACACAGTGCACAGCACACAGCACACAGTGCACAGCACACAGTGCACAGTACAGAGCAGACAGTACACAGCAGACAGCACAAAGCACACAGCACGCAACAGACAGCACACAACAGCACAACACACAACAGACAGCACACAGCACAACACAGCACAACACAGCACAACACACAGTGCACAACAGAAAGTACACAGCAGACAACAGACAGTACACAGCACAACACAGCACAACACACAGTGCACAACAGAAAGTACACAGCAGACAACAGACAGTACACAGCACACAACACACAGTACACAGCAGGCAGCAGACAGCTTACCTTGTAAAACACTAGCAGTAAGGTGATGATGGCGAGTGCTGTCACTGTGGAATGTCTGCAAACACACACACATACACACACACATCAACAGTAACGCATACACACACACACACACACACACACACACACACACACACACACACACACAAGTTTCACGAAAGGTCAACAAGGAGCCGGTTGTCGTAAGTCTCAGCGGTCACCAACGCTCACGTAACCCTGACTTATGCATACAGACAGAAACTGACACACCATGGACACGTGTCCTTAAAAAAAGCTGTCAGTGCCACTGCGCATACTACAGGTGTGCCCAGCATGCCGTGCCAGTACTTTACGCAATGTTGACAACGGGCACGGAAAATACATGTACACTCGAACGTCTCTTATCCGGGCGCCGTGGGACCGGGCACTGCCCGTATCTCAGATCTGCCCGTATCTCAGGGCAGCTCATCTAATCATGTATCATAATCATCTTTTTGATGAAGTTTCTTTGGCAGCTATTGCTCGTGTTCAGGATAAACAAGAATCCACTGATGGAAATGTGTGGATTACACAGGTTGACAGTGACAAATGAACACTTGCGCATACGGAAAAAGTTCAAAAACCCTAAATCGAAGCAACTTTGCCATAGAATCTCAAGCTGAAGGTGCCCGGTAGAGAGACGTGCCCGTATCTGAGGCGTCCGGATAAGAGACGTTTGAGTGTATTGCAGTTTCTCTCACCAGTAACGGAAGTTTCATCATCCTGGGTTCTTCGCAAAGCTGAGAATCCCCTCTGGCGATTTGTAGAGCCCAGTGGTCCCCCGTAGGCGCAAGAAAACGACATACAAGTACTTTGAAAGCCGCTCCATCACTTCATGGGATCTATGTACCTGGTGCGCTTTAGCCGTACACACTGGGATACCAGATCAGCATACAAGGTCATGGACCAGAATAATCATTATAAGGTCATGAACCATGTACACTCGGACGCCTCTTATCCGGGCACCTTGGGACTGGGCACTGCCCGTATCTCAGGATAACTCATCTACAGTTGTGGCAAGTGAAATCCGACACTTGGCATAATGGACTGCACCACGCAGTCTGCAGCCCTTGCAGCCCTGCGTACATACAGTACATGTGTTACATACAACTTTATCTGTCTGATGACAAAACTCGTACTCATCACAGTCAAGGTTCAAAAGGTGCTGGCAAAAATGAATGGGAATTAGATACCAGTACTCCTTATGTGTACTATGTTTGTGAACTGTGAGTAGAGAGGTTCTGCAAAACGAAAATGTGTACAAACTTTCGCTCTACGTCACGAAGTGAGAAACTTCGCACGAACTTTCGTCACTTTGGACGTGAAACTTGCAGGGAACGCGAAATGAACTTTCGTAGGAAGTTTCGTGAGATTGGGTCATGTCGTACGTGCACTTGGCGCGTGCAAACTACGAAAATGTGCAGAACACAAAGTTCGTGCGAAAATTCGTACACACTTTCGCAAGGCCTGTCGCGAAACTTCGTTCGAACTTTCGTTGTGCAGAACCTAGTACCTCTCTAGTATCTACGCTGTGACCTTTTGATCTGTTTGGGATGCATACGGCTCTATAGTACAAATTTGGTGCAGTGCATTACATCATTGATGTCCATTTGTGGCGCTGTCCCCTATGGCAAGTGTCGGATTTCACTTGCCACAACTGTACTATGATACTATGATACATTGTATCATATCATTCGTTGAAGAAGTTTATTTGGCAACCATTGCACATGTTAAAGGGGAAGTTAAGGCAAAAATTAAAATTTCACCAGTTGTAGTCTTCGGGGTGCTGAGTCGAATGGTCTTGGTCCGAGAACGCTGAGACGCTCCCTTCCTACTTGAATCCCAATCGAACTCGCGCACTTCCACCGAAACTGGGTGACTGCGCCCTACGAGATGGGGATTTGTATGTAAAATGTCACTAAAAGCGCCATTTCGTTCTTATAAAAGCACGGATGACCGCGATTGGCCCATATGTTGTAGTCTTTTGGACGCTGAGTCGACTGGTTTTGGTCCGAAAAGGCTGCGATGCAGCGTTCTTCCTTTATTCCCAATCGAACATGGTTGAACAATCGGTCACGTGCTCCTGGGTGCCCAAATCACCTGGTCACCACGCCAGCAGGCGACAACTTTCACACCAAGGTTCAACTGGAGTGACAGGACTGCACCCAAAAAAGGTCAAACAGGCTAGTAAGTTGTACCCTGCAGGCACGGTGACCAGGTGACTGGCGTACGCAGGAGCACGTGACCGCTTGTTCAACCATGTTCGATTGGGAATAAAGGAGGAACGCTGCATCGCAGCCTTTTTGGACCAAAACCAATCGACTCAGCGTCCAAAAGACTACAACATATGGGCCAATCGCGGTCATCCATGCTTTTATAAGAACGAAATGGCGCTTTTAGTGACATTTTGCATACAAATCCCCATCTAGTAGGGCGCAGTCACCCAGTTTCGGTGGAAGTGCGCGAGTTCGATTGGGATTCAAGTAGGAAGGGAGCGTCTCAGCTTCCTCGGACCACAACCATTCGACTCAGCACCCCGAAGACTACAACTGGTGAAATTTTAATTTTTGCCTTAACTTCCCCTTTAAGGATACCAAAATGATCGATCGATAACGTGTGGATTACACAGGTTGATAGTGACAAAATAAACAGTTGTGCATACAAAAAAAGTTCAAACCCCCAAATTCGAAGCATTTTGCCATAGGAACCCAAGCTGAAGGTGCCCGGTAGAGAGACGTGCCCGGATCTGAGGCGTCCGGATAGGACACGTTTGAGTGTACAGTCATCCTCGCAAAATGTACTACAGCTGGCTGTGCGTTTGATTGGTACAACCTAGCACAGGATTCACCAGAACAGCACATTTGGTTGGGACTGCAACTGTTCTGGACAAAGTACTCTCACTCGAAGGAACACTACTGCGGTCTTTGGCCCATTCGTGTGATACTCACAGTGCCTTAGGACATGCAATGCTAGGTGTAGTAAAATTTCGGTGTCAGGGACCTGCCAGGTTTCAGGTGTAATGTAGAATTAGGTGACCAGCGTTCCCTTCACACACAGTATATACTCTAGTGCCTTTTAGGTGTCATCTAAATTTAGGCGCCTGGTTGCTCTACGGACATTATCGAAATTTAAGTTATGCGGGCACAAGCTATGCAAAGCGTGTCCACTTCACCCGTAGTTTTCGTGCTGCTCCTTTGAATCAAAATTTGTCTTGGCGTCATTCTTCGTGGCTCCCTTCGCTCTTTTCGACAGTGTTTGTGCGGGAACGGACACGAACATTTACTTTACTTTTAGTGTTTCTCATGATCATAAAATACAGACTTCAGTCCTGCAAAAGAAACACCTTTTGTTTTAGCGGCACATTTGGTGGCAGCACGCAATGCTTTACTAAAAAAAAACATTTCAAACAGTTTGCATCCACCACAGTGTTGTTCGGAGAACTTTCAACTAGCGTTACTTCAGACTTTTCCAGTTTGCACCTGTCCCTCAAGCAAATGAAAACTTTCAACTTTCAACTTTCTACACAATTTCGTGAACGTACATGCATGAGCCTGGAACGTGTGCAGCTATGCCCAGGTAACTGCACACGCCAGCACTTGGCGTGTACATGTACAGTCGACTAGTCGTGCACATACACAACAACATGTAGAACGGGAATAGGAATTGATTTCCGCAAAACAAGAACGTGACAGAAGTGCATGACTGACCCACCCGGAGTACGACATGTACACATACGGATCCACGGAGCAAGGGGGAGCCTCGTATGTCTGCACAAGTCTCCAAATCAAGCGCCCAGTACAGTGTTCGGTAGTACGGTTATGATTGTACTTTGTAGTCAGGTGTGGGGCGAGGAAATCATTGCTTCCAGTCTACCCTGCACGTACATGCACCTGTCTCATGACACGAAAAACTTTGTAATTAATTGATAGCATTTACAATCTCAAACGTAAAAATGCCAACACCTGTCTCCAGGAAATACATGCAGAGAAAGCAGTTCAGGTGCTCGTCCATGTTCACATTTGATACAACAGGCGAAAAAAGCAACACGAGACGACCAGATACTAGTAGGAAAGCATGCATTCCGAATAAAAATAAAACTCGCATCATTTTCAGGACTAAACGAAGAAAGCAATGAAACAATCGAGAAAACACACATCCTCAAGATAATACACAATACAAATCCGCAGCGAAATTCAACGCACCTTAGACAGAACGTGGCATTCAGCGGGGAGTAGCATGCCCAGCTTGCAGCTGACAGGTTACCGAACTCAGTGGTGTTCATAACGATGGGCTCCATCCTCCTCCCGGCTTCGAGTACGTGAGAGGGGGAGAAACTAACAAAAGTTTGTATTCCGGAGATGACTCAGCGCGTGGCCAGCCCTCACATCTTGTGATGGTAAACTTGCCAGGTATGGATGGGGAAATGAGGCAGAGAAGTAGCCAGGTCGACTATTCTGAGGACACAAAATTCCTTCCGCCAACCAAGGCAGTCAAACAGCAAAATTAAATTCAAATGAAAAGGCCGAAAGAGATGACAAGCCAGTGAAACAAGATCGAAAGGGTGAAGTGTTCTTGCACAGACCAAGAGTACATAACCCCCATGTACTCTTGCACAGACCAATCAGTCACCTCACAATTCGTACTTCAGCCCAGCACCGTTTCGGCTCACGGTCACGTCTTTTCAAGCATGTTCGGAAAGGCGAGTGACCAAGCTAGGTACGGGGGCCCCGGGCCGTTGTGCACTCCACACGTGTGTGCTCCTCGTACCTGTGCTGAGTGTAGCTGTTGTTGAGTGTTGACGTCAGAGGCTATGATGATTCGCAAAATGGGAAGCCAAACCTCCGCGAACAAACATAGAAAGGCATAAAATAGGAAAAAACAGACAAGAACAATCCTTTTTTTCAGATACAACGCGGTTTCAGTATTCTACCAGATTTATTCAATCACCAAAAACGTCATGCGTACATGATAATGATGTCATCCAGTGTACAACAGTCCTTGTTTTCATGGAAACCAAAAATGGCTTCGGGAAGTGGGCATAAAAAGCAGGGACTCCCTAGGCCCTGATAAAAAGTAATCAATATTGATGATTATTTTATATTTCAAATTGCTGTAATAACCATAACTCAGGCCAGCTTTGTTGTTCAGGAGATCAGACTCAGCGATTGCTTGCTGGGCAACATAATATTGCTCTTTGAAGATATCCACGTCCTTCCTTGTTGTCGTGCACACCAATCTAGGATCTTTGCTTGCAGGCCAGAACATGAATACCTTGTTGGTTCGATCAGCTCGGCATGGCTGTTTGGCTCGAGCTGCTCGTGTCTGGTTGGCGTGCTCGCCACAGCAACGACAGACAAGGCATAGCAGTGACACTGTCAGCTGTACGGCACTGGACGTACCCCTGCTAAATCCCCTTCCTCCTGCCACGCTCGTGGTGTCTGGTGGAACGTTGCTCTCGCAGAAAGTGCAGGAATTTTTCAGCAGTTGCGAGAATGGCGTCCTGGGAACGAGCGAGGCGGACTTACCAAACTTTGTACGCCTGGTCAATCTGCTGATCGATTCGTTGAAGTGCACAGTGGAGAAGGAGCCGGAGAGGGACGAGATGATCGAGTCTCTGCTGAAAATCCTCTGCTCAATGGACAGTGTTGCGCTGCACCCTGACTTCTTGGGTTTGTTGGATGACCCAGTACTACTAAGTGAACTACGCTCGGCAGACAAAGAAGCTTTGAGCAATTTAGCAGTAAAGGTGTGGGATCACGTGCTGAAAACTTCAACTATCGAGCATGTCCTCATTGCCGCTACTCTCCTGTTAGAGATACATGGGCGAGTGCCAACTGAAATAATCGCCATCATCAACATGCCGGGATTCTCTAAAGTTGTCGACAGCCTGCAGCCGATCGAGCCGGTGACGGTGAAAACAAACATCTTTCTCCTGGCTGGTATGCAGCGTATCTCTCGATCGCTGCTGAGTCCCAAGGTCGTCCACGACATCATGGCTAATCTCAGTGCACAGCTCATAAAGGTACCCATGCCCAAGGACGACAAGACTATCGTACAGCTTGCGGCCATCTCCAGATCCATAACACACCTGGGGTACTTTCACGAAGAGTTTCTCTTGGCGTACGCCATCTTCTTTCTGCACATGGCCCGCTCCCAGGAGAAGTTTGTAAGGCCGTTTGTGTCGCTGACCATGGTGGCCAACCTGGCGTACTCACTGAGCCATGCCGGCATTCCTAGCCTGGCACTGCTGGAGGAGATGCAGGAATACATCAAGCCGCAGCTGTTCCGCACCGTGCAGCCCGAGCTGCTGCTGCATCTCCTCTGGTCCTACCTGGCCCAGGGCATGCGCCCGCCCGCGGGTGGTATGGCCCATCTCGACCGGGTGCTGACCGACCTGCCCCCCACGTCATTCCGCAACTACGGCTACGAACTGGAGCAGGTGAGGCCGCATCTCGCCACCAGCAGGATGGAGCTTGGAGAGCTGCTGGCCAAGCACCGTCCCATCCCGGGTATGTTTGTGGAAGCTCACAAACGCCACCCGGAGCTGGCCGTTGGCGTCATGACGGACGGCGCCGCCGGCATGATCCACGCGTGCGCGCTGGTCAACCCGAACACCAGGCAGCTCATCCCGTGGAACAGGGCCAACGTTCAGCCGGACGATCTGTCCGGTGAGGACGTCGACGGCCTGCCTGGCACACCGGTGGCCGTCGTGCCTTGCTTCTATGGCTCAACGTACGCACCTCGTGGACGCCTCGCCGGCCCGCTGTACAGGAAACAGCTGTTGCTGGAGGAGCTTGGCTGGAAAGTCCTTGTACTGGATATGTCGCAACACTGGAGTCGTCAGAAATCCGGCATCTCGGCTCTGATGTCACGGATTAAGACAATAGGGACAAGCAAGTAGAGCGATCCGCCACTGGTGCTGCAGAAGAGTATGCGTATGACCGCAGTGATGCCGGACACGAGCATCGCCTGAAGGCCTCTACAGCACTGGCGCTGGAAATGCTGGGTGTCATCTCCATCTTGACAAATAAGGCTCGCAGGTCATGATTGCTTCGTCTGTTGGCTAAGCGAACGCCAGCATGGGTATATCCGGCAACCCTGCATTGTGGTACGGTAGATACTGACTGGTCAATGCTGGTGCTCTGCACATGGTCTCAGATGTTAGCTTGTGCAGGCAAGTATAGCCAAGTGCCCGGCTCACGCCCCGCACAGTGTGGCGCGAACACAGAGCCGCTCAGTGTGTGCGCTCGTCAGGATTGTGAGGGCGCCGCGGGCGGGTTGTCTTGTGCGCAGCGTGACCTGTGAGTGTGAGTGGACGGTGAGCTAGATGTGTGCAGTGTCCCGTACTGCCGGCATGCCAGCCCTGCTGCTCCGACCGCGTGCAGCTTGAACATCCTCCTGACGTGGTCATTTAAACTTCACTGCTGGCACTACCAGCTAGTCACCCCCACCCATGTTACAGATTCTGTGGACGTGTTCACCATTGCTACTGCTGCTGCTACTGCTGTTACGTTTGTGTTTTGAACACGGTCAGTAGCAACTCGCTTGCTTTGTGATTGTGATGCCTATTTCATAGCTGAGTACGCCATTGTATTCGCTACCACTATAATTATGTACATCTCTCCCAGCAGGCTGGCGAGTCGTGGCTTGAGACGGCGTTGCGTTGACATGCTGAGCATTAAGCTGGAGGTAGCTACAGTGCACGCTTAGCTAGGCAGGTAGGATCCTGTGCTCCGTTGACAATTCTAAATCAGATCTCTCCACGTTATATCGTCGGCTGTTTCTCTCTCTATTGGCGCTACCAACGGCCTTGGCACAGCCTGGTGTGTAATTGGCCAACTAACACGTGTGCTTGGAAGTAGCACAGTGTGCAAGACGCTGGTCTGAGACTGGGCTTACTTTGGGGTTCTGTTGCAGAGTTTCCATAGCTCTGCGTGCAGGTTTAGTATTTTGACTATCACTCAGCACTGCTCCGTGATCAGCACTATGGGCTGCTGGTTCATTCAACAGCATAAAAAATAGTTCAGTCTTGGCATGTGTGTGTGTGTGTGGGGGGGGGGGGCTCAGGCTGATGTGAGATGCAACGAGTGTGCTTGATATTAGTGACATGCACATAGCTGAAAGCTAGAGAATTGAGTAAAATCATGTACATGTATAATACAAGCCTTGTTTGTAGGTAACATGATTGTTTTCAAGGTGACAGTGTGAACAAGCCATACAGTGTGTCCTCGCCTTGTCCACGCTATCACCGCAAAAACAAATCATGCATGTCTACATGTAAGAACACCACCATGCTGTACAGCTGGGGTCTGGGGCTCCACAACCCAGGTACAGGGCTCCACCACCCAGGCACGCGGCTACACAACGGTCAACCCAGGTCCGGGGCTGCATAGTACCCAGTGCCAGCTAGCTAGCTGCATGCAGGACACCCCACGGCCCAGGTGACCGGTCCAGATCAAATTTTCATTCCTCACTTCAGCATTGTAAAACTCTATACAGCATTCATAGTCATACTCATAGGCTGCTGTACGCACGATGGCAGACTGCCATTAAAAACTATTTCTATAGAGCAATAGCTACTTCATGATGGTGTCGATTTCACACTTGCTATGACTAGTAATTTTTCAACAAGCACAACCATGCCCTACCGAAAGTGCTTCAAGTTTTGAATATTATGTTTCCAAAGCATAGCAGTAGTGGAGTATGAGGTGTACGTATCAAGTTGCATGCGGTTACAATGTCGACAGAGAGCGGAATCCTCAGCTTCTATGGTATGGAGTGCCCAATGCTCACAGGAGCAGAGCTATAATTATCACACCAGAGTCAAACTCAGTACAGAGCACCACGTGTTACAATATCGTAATCATTTTAGTTAAAAAGAAAGTATCATCATCAAGCCTAAATCAATCTGATCGGTCAAGTTTTAGACAGTGGTAATACATGTATGCAAGAACAAGTTTAAAAAGGCATGTATTACATTGTATTATTCCAGCATACAATAATTTATACTCGTTGTCCTCTCCATAGTAGTATCATAAAACTATCAGCACAAAAATTATAAGAGTCCTGTGTGCATCAAGGCAAACCATGCAAGAAGATAGTATTCCAACGGATTGTTTACTGGAAGTGTGAGTTATCCACTAGCAAGCTCAGGCGGAAAAGCCGCAAAAGTAGAGAACAACTCGGAACATAATAACCAAACTACCTCAGTCTCCGAGTTTTCACGCAAACGTCCACGAATGATTAATGGCTCTTTAAAGCTAATAATGAGTCAAAGTGAAGTTACTAAACTTTACACGTGTTCTCATAACAATGTACTTCTGTAGCACCCTATATCCAGTAACCATGGTAACATTGGATCAGTTTTTGGACTACTAGTACTAGTATATTAATTTACTTTTTTTAAGTAAAATAGTGGTAGCGACTTTTATTATTTATTACTATTAAATCGTACAAGTTTCTATGCAGCACAAGGAGCTAGTGTTCGGGCATCTCAATTCAGCTTGTCAAGGCAAGAAGGGTTCATCAGAACGTCTCAGGGCGGACTTCCAAAGGAGGACTCATCTTCGCACGATGACGCGCCACCGTTGCGTCCCTCCAGAATCCAGTATTCGCGGCTGGTCTCGGAGAGGAGGCGATTTGAAACAGGTAGCTTGACGGTCGGCCTAGGCTCGGCGTTGAGGTCGGCATCGTCGGATGACGTCGAGGAAAGTGGCAGATGGCGCCATGATGCCGGCTTGGCTACGGCGAGATGGCTACTGGCCACGGTACCTGCTCTCCTTCGCGCCGCTGCAATGGTGTTCTTGTCCGGTTTCGGCGGCAGCGATGGACGCACTCCTGGCGGCAGTGTCGTAGATTCCGTTTGGTGTACGCCAATGCCTGATGTTGCTTTCAGAGGTGAGGAGTGACTTGAAAGGCTTGATGTTGTACTGCCTCCGCCGGCTGCTGGACCTGTCCAGTAATCATCACTTGGCAGAGGGCCTATCACCGGCATTTGCTGCCGGTACTCCCGGATGGGGTCTATGAATCTGTCCTGGCCAGGCGGGGTCTTGCCTGCATCTACACCGCTATCCGGGGCGGACGTTGTTTGCGATGTGGTCTGTGTTCTGGCGGGCTGCAAGCGACAGTTGTCATCAGCGTCGGATGCTGTTGCAGCCAGTATGTCAGGACAGCTCATGCTGTTGCGGTGGTTCTCCGTCATACCAGCACTTTGCACAGTCTTGTTGGACTGCATACAGTCGATGGAGTTCATACGGCGCCGCTCCTGCAGTGCCCGAGATCGCAGTACCGAGTCTCGTCTTGGCGGTGGTACTGGAGCAGCTGTGTTATTTGCAGCTTGTTTCACCGATGCTGGTAAGGGGATTCCCCGCGGGACTTTGTATCTTGGTACGGACGTGAGACCTTGCCGAGGTCCCGCCGCACTGCTTTCGACGCTGGGCTCTTCTTCACTGACAGTGGTGATTGAGAGCTGTTTGAGCAGCTCAGACACACCAGTATCAGCAGGCGTGTTGTCCTGTTTGTTGCTATCGGGGCTGGACACAGAGCCAGTGCTCTTCAGCGGAGCACCCTCTGTGAAAGAAAGGTATGTGAGACGGCCAGAGTTGCCGGGTGAAGTGGACGTTGTTGCCTGCGTTAATGATGACGATGGTGATTGCACTTCGTAGCCGTCATTGCTGAGCACCGAAGTATGCATTGCGGAGGTGTTGGCGGTGGTAGCACTGGTGGCAGACTTACTCGGTGACACTAGCAAAACCGGGCTGGACTTCTGTACCTTGAGAAGTGCCTGGTACGGTGATTTGTTGGAGCTGACTGCTTTGGCATAGCCGCCGTTCTCGGCCCCGGCATCACCCGTTTTAGCCGCACCGCTGCCAGGTTGGTGTGCAGCTACGGCGGCCGCATGCAGGAACCGACTGCTGGGCAAGCTGGAGCGGTTGTGGACGGTGGCCGCTCGCTTGGCGCGGACGATCGACTGCCGCTGCTTGGCCGGCGACTGCACGCCGACATTGCTGCTGAGCTTGGCGTACTGTCCCTCTCGGTTGGCGTCCGCCGGTATTGCGAGTAGATCGGGTAGCGACGAGCCTGACTTCATGCTGCTGTTCGTCATGTCGTGCTGTGCTGCTTGTACACTGTTTGTCATGTATAGCGTTGACTCGCGGTCGAACAGCCACGAGTCGGACTTAGAGAGGCGCTTCTCGATCGCCGGGCACTGGTCCGGATCGACGTAGACCCTCTCGCTGGTGTACTTCACGCTGTATAGTCCCTCCTCAATGCCATCGGTCACGCCACACACACCGCCACCACCACCACCGGCGGCGGTGGTTGCTACGGCGACGGCGGCGTTGTTGCTCTCGACGTTGGTATCCACGACGACACTAGCGTGGTTGCCGGCGGTTGCGATGGCGCTCTGGAGGGCCGCGCTGGATAGGCTGGCCTGGAGGCTAGGGTTGGTGAGATCAGTTCGGCCTACAATGTACATGTGACAGTACAAAACACATCATTAGCAAAAGTACCCACTCGGATGTTGAGCCAATAGTGATACAGTGTATGTAAAGAGAAAAGACGTATAAGTTACGAGTTATGACTAACAGTCCACCCAGCTAGGTGTCCGGCCATCGAATCTTTCAATATCCCTGTCCGTTTGTGCTTTGTCGCACTATCTGACTGTATATTATCTTGGTGGACTCAGTCATAACTATTAACTTTATTATTTTTCTCTTTACAAAAGCACCCACGTTATCACAATGTCAAAGTGTGCATGGCACAACAAGCATATTGTGCATTGCCAAATATGGATTTCATGAGTAATGCATGTGAGTACTTGTACACTGGGATCAGGCATGCATATGTTCAACAGAACACCCTACACGACCATACCCCGGTAGTTGTGTGTGTGTGTGGGAGGGAGGTGTGTCTATGGTACAAATCACGTCATTGCGCAATAGGCTTATAGACCTGGGCATGGGAGACGTAGAGGATATAACCCGAGTCAGAGGGTTATACCGGCTGAATATAAATCCCGACTGCGATAGCAGGAGGGGTTAATATGAGGGTACGGTATAACCCGACTACGAGGGTCATATCCTCCTTATGCCAGGTACCCCTACGCATTTCCAGAACAACGAACCTATTTGGAGATCTCCTACATCATGCAGTACATGAACATGTTCTGATGGTTATCAGTTGTCAATTGAAAGAATGGTCGAGCAAGGTCAGAAGGAGATTCCTCCGTGGATGTTTGGCATAAGATTTCCTTTCAGTTCCAGTGCATATTGTAGCATCTGCATGATCTTGTCGCGTGAGCGGTGCGGAAGTCAACTGAATTGCTGGGGTGCTGGAGCTGTCGTTGAACCAAACTACTGTCACTAGTTAGATTACAGTCTGGACTCTTTGGGAGTAAAGTGTTACTATAATTATGGTACAGTGCTGATTTTCACATGCGGCATCTTATAATCAGTTTTGCTTACTTGCAAGTAGATGCATTTGCATACACTGTTTTGTATCACTGTGTCACATTTCAATCCAATCTAGCATTTTCCAATCGGTTTGAAGTACACTCTGCATCAGAAACTTAGTTACGAAGGAGACAGTCTGTTGATGATCTTCAACTCTTCGAAGTACAATCTACATTGCTGACCCATTCGCGATACTTCGTGGTTATTCGACGTTCTTTATCCTCAGATTCAGTATAATAGAATACTCTGTAGACGAATTCCAGGTCATTCTTCTTTTCCATTGTGTGCTATTCCTCGTCAGTAATGCCGTTCTGTGTGGAGTGGTGTTTGTTGTGAATGGTTCGTGCGCTGGAGTACTGTACACGTTCACTGCCTTTCAGGCAGTGAACGTGTACAGTGGCAGTGCCCTAGCGTACGTACCATGCACCGGGATTTATATTCGATATAAATCCGGCCAATATAACCATGGCTAGACGAGCGCTGATTGGCTGAAAACAGGCCCTCCGTACCGTACCATGGTATAAAGGCAGATAGAAGACACGCTCTCACACGGCCTAAATGGATCACACCTATACCAAAGCACACATTGTGTATTCGGGAATGTGTATAGGAATCAACATATTTTGACTTTGCCTCAGAACAATCCTTATGCAGTAGAATGTAGTCGGAGCTTGTGATAGAGTGGCATATCAAATGCCTTCAAGGCAAATGTTCATGGGTTGATTTTGAAACCCACCAACAGGATTTTTAACTCCTTCAGTAAAATGCGGGCAATGCCTGTTGGTCTCCGGTGCTAAGCACGTTGCCGGCTTGCTTGTGTATGTGCACATGTGTCTGTGTTTATGTGTGTGTGTGTGCACGTGTGTGTGTGTGTGTGTGTGTGTGTGTGTATGCGCGCGCATGTATGGGTAGGGGTATGTTTGTGATGACATGGCATCCAGCACGTTGACTCCCGATTCCAGCCGCCTTTGCTAGCTTCCAAAACACCTATCTGAGTGAAGTTGTAGTGCAGAAAAAGAGGAGCAAGTTGATGACATCACTCACCAGAGTCTGTTGATCCGCGACTTAGCATGGAGCGAATACGGTGAAGAGGCGTCGGAGATGAGTGGGCAGTGGTCGTTGTCGTCTTGGTGGATGCTCGGTGCAGGAAGGAGCGAACTCGAGTTAGCGGGCTGGATGAAGGGGACGCCTGAAATGCCGGCTGCGATAAGTGTGCCTTTTCCTTCCTGCGGGGCAGCACAACAGGGCAGAGTGGGAATCTCAGCATTGTACAACTCACTGTCAAACCTCGCTTAAACGAACAACAAGGGACGAATGGTATTTGCTCGCAACAACAGGAGTTTTTCCTATCGATATTTCGGTCCAGCCAAATGGGGTACGGGTGCTTGACCGGAAATCAACATTATCAGTTACGACAACAAACCAAACGTGTCTACACGGATAGGGTGGGTCAACGTTTTTTTTCTCGAAATAATGCCAGGGCATGGTCAGCTCGTCCGGACTGGGTACTACGGCCTGATCATCGGGAGAAGGACAGTGAAACCTGTCTAAGACGACCGCTCAAGGGACCTTCACAACGTGGTCTCAGTTACCAGGTGGTCTCCTTATCCAGGGTCATTTGACTGGAAATAGCATGCCTTGATGCTGGTTTCAGTGGTCTTCTAGAACAGGTAGTCGCCTTATCCGAGTGGTCTCCTTGACAGGTTTTACTGTATCATGTTATGGTCCTACGGGCCGTATACATATAACTTGTTGCTCGATGAATACGGTAAAACCTGTCAAGGCGACCACTCGGATAAGGTGACCACCTGTCCTAGAAGACCACTGAGACCAGGATCAAGAGATGCTATTTCCTTTCAATTGACCCTGGATAAGGAGACCACCTGGTAACAGAGACCACTTTTCAAAGGTCCCTTGAGCGGTCGTTTTAGACAGGTTTCACTGTACCGTAAAGTACCGCCAGAGCGCCCCACCATCTCATCCTTTCGTAGTCGTATTGTGGAGGTGGTCTGCTGTCTGTAGGTCATACGACATGAACCTTGTACACATATTGCACGTTTCGCAGTCAATCCGTACCTTCAAGAGGACACAAGCTCCACACAAAAACCTGCCAAGTGTGACCTTAGTACACTAAGATTCTCACATCGTACACACTTCGTTGCACTCCGCCATACGATTTTCCTTTCTCTGGCTGTAAAATCAAAGTGGGGCGCTCTCGCGAGACGGGGCGCTCTGGCGGTACTTTACGGTACATTTACTAGGAATAGCTGGCCTCAAGCGAAGGTCCCTGGTTCGAGTCCTGGTCGTGACAGTCAATTTTTTTCTTCAGATTTTTCCCATTTCCATCTTTCTCTCAAGCCAATGAATGTTCTATGAATACTGGTTGGATATTATAAAGACTTCACTTCACATAGTGCCAACTCACTGTTTCTTCTTCCATCGCCTCCACGCAAAGAATGAGACCAATCCAAGCAGCATGACGACGATACCGATGGCGATGCCGATCGCAAAGTTCTGCAGGAGGTTGCCAGCGCCTCCACCGGATGTTCCCATATTCGCTGGCCCGCTGGTCACTATCCCGGACTGGCCACCGGCAATGGGATGCGTTCGTACTATACTCGTGGTGGCAGAGCGATCGCCGGTCGAGAGTTGAGCAGTCGTCGCAGTATCCATTTTGAGATTGGAGTTGTATATTGAGCCGGTTGTATTGTGATGCTTGTAAACTGCTGTGGGTGTTGGCGGTCAGTCTAAAGGGTTATGCTGCACAAAGTATTGCACACAACAAACACAGCACCGTCAAGTCAAGCAAGCTAATCAACACAGGCACACCCTGGAAAGAATAATGTCATGATATTTCGGATCCTATTCACCGGCCTGGAAAATCAGTGACAACGGATGCATTGTTTCTCAATCTGCGGACAGAACTGTTTCGTCCTTTGTGGACTCATCAGCGCAGCACAGAGAAAATGAAGCTGAACCTGAAAGCAATGATTTTTTCCAAAGCCAGATTTAAACCAGGCCCGCGAACGTACCATGGTTTCTCAATTGTTTGAAGGTCCCAAACGGAAAATGCTCTATTTGGGGAGGAAAAGGTTCATGATGATAACACTATGCTCTCAGAATGGCCCAGGGCAGAGTATTGGTTCATTTCTCTCTTTCTTCTTCTTATTCGAATGTAACCCCGAGAGCAATTTCAACAGAGTGTTGATGTGAACATTATAACAGGGGATGGTTTTGCCCCACTTCATCTTATCCCTTTGCTGCCTTGTTACGTATCACATTGGAGCATAATGCATCCCTGACTCGGGAGCTTACTTCTACTGGCTGCAGCCTGATAACAATGTACAAGTACTCAGTCACTGGGTTGTCGTTAGTCTAGAATGATACAGCAGGGTTACGGTAGACTCAGACAAGGGAAAGGTGGACTGCACTGGCCCAGGGGACCCTTTGTTTGTGTGCTGCCAAACACTGAACCGTTTTTTCCTTCATTTCCACCAGTATGGCTACTGAGTACTGACTGTACTTCGTCTTGGGCCAAGTTGGGGCTGAAGCATGGGGATTCGAAGCTGCCATACGGGGTGAAACTTGCTGACCGGCATGTACAGCCTCTTGTCATAATAATAATTATGCTATCCTAGATCCTGGAGATGCTGGCAAGGCGCCAGCTGGACTGTCACAGTGTCAGCATACAGCTACAAGATGTGCATATCAAGTTCTGGCAACTGAAATCCGACCCCTGGAGCCGTCCGCCCATATCGCAACGACCCAGCACCGGATTGTAGCCAGGCCTGATTGTAACACTATGAAATAGAGACTGCTAGAATCGGTGCTGCGCTCGTGCACGGCAATCAGGGGTCGGATTTCAGCTGCCACCACTGGAGGACGGAACTCTACACTCCTTCAGTGTGTCACCGTGTGTCCATATGCCGTAATTAAGGTGTATTGGCAAAGTGCTGACCTTGTGCCAAGACATGTCTAGGACAACGTGCACTCCTCTTCCATACCCAGTGGCAGTGGACAGCAAAATCTAAAACGTCTGCACAGTCGCGGGAACATTTCGGGTATGGCACCCAGAGACAATCCTAGCTCGTCCAGGAGAGGCCCAGTCGTCCTTGGGATGTACATGCAGCTACACAGTTTGGGCAGCCAATACGCCCAGGGCTCAGCCTGCTGGCGTGATTAGTAGACACGCATTACCAACACACCCTTCCGTCAATTTCTGGCCCCAGATCACCTTTCCTCTCCACAATGACACACTGGCACACACCACTCCCTTGCCAGGCAGAACGACTTGGTTCAACCACCGTATCCTACCCGGGGATGGCACAGCGAGGAACGAGAGTATTCCTGTTCAATATCTAGAACTGCAAGCCTCCTTTTCTCGCAGACTCCGGTGCAGCAGAGCAAGTAACTCTGGCCTTTACGCATGTCCGATGGTGGGCACACGTAGAACTAGCCTCCATGTGCAACGAGCGAATACAAGACAGTACGGCCAAGTCAATGTGTACAGTGGACAAAGCCCTATGGAGAGATGGTATGGTACAATCCATGGTCCCCTTTCTCTAACAATCCTCAGGCGACTAGGTTATGCCGATTATCTTTTAAAAAGACCTTCAGGACGTCAAGGGGCGGGTGTCAATGATCATGACAGGAGAAAGCCCAGTAGCTCAGTACGTATGCAAATGAGTTGTACAAACAGCCCAGAACACCATCATGTATTCGACAAAGTTGTTGAGAATATGGAATGCTTGACAAGTTGTTGACAAACACCACTTTACTAAAGAGATTGTTTTACATAGAACAATGCTGATCACGCGGATGTGAGAACTCTACTACTTATGCGCCTAAGGACACCCTGTCATAACACAGAGAGAATTGCCTATAAGACATACACCCGGCATCCTCCAACTTTCCAAGGCACATCTGGAGTTGTTCATCAACTTCATGGCGACTGAAACACAACCAAAACGGATCGAGAGTCTGGTGGGTTTGGCTCTCTTTCTACAATCCGTCCAGCACTACTAGCTAGCTAGAGTGAGTTGCCAGTTGGCAGATTGTCAGTCTTGTCACCCAGTTTCCCGGGTCAGTAATACTAGAGACTGACAAGTGACAACCTGCAAGGTGCGATTATTATTTTGCTATGCACTCGTACCGACACTAGTACGTCCTGTACATTGTACATGCATTAGGTCCCATTCTTCCTCAACTGTTTTTTTGTGAGCATTTTGTGTGCAATTTTTTTGGCTCCAAGTCGTCACACCCTGATCTTGTATTTTCTATCTCCCCCGAACGTTATAATCAGACTTGAAACTGATGTGTAGACACATTCCTCACACGTACAGATATCACGATGCTGAGATGATTAAATTTTGGTAAAAGTTGCCGCACAACACAGAGCATTTTGCAACGGACACATGACTTGTACCTACATGTCCATTGTATTCTTGTCTGAAAACAATACGTACAGTATTACCGGAAGGTGGATTACATTTTTTTTTACTTCTTCAAGATCTCGTTGGACCTGGGCCCAGGTCTGGTGAAAACGTATGACATAATCATTGCATAGGCCTACCTTTGGAGTACTCATTTTGGTGAACTACATGTACTGCTACTTGTGCAGGAATGGACTTGGATGGAGAGCCAAGTTTAGTAAACTGGTGGTTTTAGTGGACAGTATAGCGTACTAGTAACTTGTAGTTCCTTGGTCCATTTTTCTTTTGTACAAATTACTGCTTGTGAACAGGTTTATTCACAACACCAGTTGGGCCAATCGCGTGAAACCACGAAGTAAGAACCAAAGCAAAAAGACAACCCAAATTCGGAAATAAATAGAACACTCAATTGAACTACTTCCGAAGTACATGTACTACTACTAGTACCAGGGTACCAGTAACTAATTACTTTAGGAAATATTACCAGTTTATATACATGTACATATAGATTGCTGCAGTACTTGTACATGTATTTGTACTGGAAGACATGCCATCGCATGTGTGTTGAGGTGTGAGGTTACCTGTACCTCGCACCCAGTTTTCACTAGATACAACATACCACTCAGAATACCTGTTGTGAATATGTCCCAGATCAGAATGGAGAGCATTTTTAGATAATACTTGAAGTGGAGTAAAATAATTGTTTACTAGGAATCCCTTGCACACTATTAAATTTTGTACATGCCAGTACAGTACAGTCATGTTCAGTACAGTGCATCTTTGTATCTCTTTCCCAGGGTTTGCCTCTAACCTAGCAATGAACACGTGACTGAGATACCAACAGGGCGGGTACCACTAAAACCAGTAAAGTTCTTTTACTAAACTAATACTGACCTAATAATAATTGTCATGTACCCGATGTACATGTACATAGAGTGGAGAGGAAATGTTGCCAGAAATACCTCTCCACTCTGCACTACCCACAGTACAGTACAGTACGTGGGACTCTCACGAGCCACTTATCCTCCCATGTCAGAGTCCTTGAGCAGCTGATTGACAAAATTATCCAGTTTGGCCCAGTTCGGGATCCCACTGCAACTGTGCTTGACATGGAATGCACTTGTTACCTATAGGCTATACAGTCATGTAACAACTACTTCAAAATAACTTTGTACTGTGGTGCCAGGTCGTGAATACAACAACGCTCAGCTGTATCACCATGGATCACACAACCGACTGAGACTGAGACCGTGACTGTGAGAGCTGATGAGTTGCTCATGAACACCCGCCACGGAGCATAGGAGATATCACACCGGCAGGATCTGGCAATAGTATTGTAGGATTCGACTCCACAGTCCACGACTAGTCCTCTTGGTCTCGCCTGCGGCCACGATACATGCCCTCTTCAGTGACACGCTTCCATCGCAACAATTATTTTGATTGATTATCGTCTATGAAACGGTGACATGACTGAATTATGAAAGGTCTTTGGTGGGTAACCAACCACCCACGCTGTGTTTTCTCTTCAAGACGCAATGGATTACTGCAAGTGTGATACTAGCAATGTGTACCTGTGCTATACTCTCTTCATTCCTATCCAGGATGCAGGAAAGTCGCATTGCAATCAGTTCCTTTTGCTTCCCTGTTCACTGATACATGTATGTAGATGTACTGTCCGTACATGATTGTACACTACTTCAGACTGGCCTATTTTTACAACCACAAATCACAACAGGAGTACAACAAATCTTCCCCAGGGGATATAGCAATACGTGTCGTTGGACTACTGGTCGTTCTACGTCGGCCCATTGGTCAAGACCAGGACCGAGATGCACCCACGGTCATCATGGACAAGCCCAAAACCACTGAGACCAAAAACCACTGAGACGAAAGCCACCGAGACCATACGCCACTGAGAAAAGACCTTCCGAACAGGTACTAGTACTTGGTCTCAGCAGTTTTTCGGCTTTGTATGGTACGCTCTGCCCTTGCTTGCGCATAGAACACTATTTGCAGCAAAGACCCAATAAACTTTGTCTAGGACCAGGGATATCATTCGCGTTCCAGGCGCCATGCATGCCGCTGCCTGACCCTGGGTTTTGAAAGTTGAAACCCAGCCCCTCACTGGATTGTTGTTGTTACTCATGCTAGGATTAGCGCTGTGGCCAAGCGTGAGAAACTGATCCAGCAGCTTAGACTGGGACTAGGACTATGAATCATGGAGAAGCAAAAGCCAAGCTATTGCCGGGCAGTGTAAGCCAAGCTGCTCTGCCTGGTCACACTCCTCATCCACATATTGCTACATACAATTTACAAGATTGTACTTCACGAGCGAACCTCAAGGCCCAGCCGTAAGTGAACTCTGCAAATAATTATTTCTCAATTCTGTGACTTTCGCCAGCGTTGATTTTTGCCTAACTTATAATTATTATGAACGTCCCTGGAGACCTTGGTCGAGATACTCTTTGAAGCAAGTATGGCGAATGAGCTAGCCTAATAAGTAAGGAACTGTCCGTGGAGGCAACCTGAGGTAACCTCTAGTAAAACTAGTAGTAGGTTAGTTCGGCCACACGTACATGTACTTAAAGCACACACAGTTAACATACTACCGGTAGTTATTTTTTGTTTTTGTTTTTGTGTTTATTTTACAGTGAGGAATCCGGCATAGTGGGATGGATGGTCTAAGACCATGATTGAGAAACAGAGGGTACCAGGTTCAAGTCCTGCTTGGAAGCGGACGGAATGTTTCCAGCCGTGCTGCGACCCACACTTAGTTGGGAACTCGTGGCCTGGCACGCGGGTAACATGGATGCAGCTAATGTGATTTCGGTCTTTGACCACTTGGTGGTGGGTCTGATCTACTCACCTCCCACCGTTTAGGCGTTGCATCTGCGCCTTGATCCTAGAGGTCGGTGGCGTTTCCACGGCGGATGCGGAAAACTCGGCTTCCAGCCGAGTCTCACGCGGACCGCGAAAGTTTTTATTTTTTATTTATAATCCGGCCACAAAGCCTGCACAAATACTCATGAATAGTAAAGTTCTAAAAAGAAACACATGTACTAAACACCAATAGCTGCCTCAGAAACCGCCAGCGCCAACACAATAGTAATATTCACGATACTAGTAGTAGTCTGGTATTAGATAATCCAATACTAGCACAGCACCAGCACTAGCTCTACCAACCGTGGATGGTTGCAGTAAGGTCACTGTTTCCGAACACGGTGGCCTCCACCTTGTTTCATGCTGTCAAACCAACAACATAGTTGTAGTCTGCGTGGGTCCTGAAGTCAGTGAGTGAAATGCATGGCGAATTGTGTGCGTGACAAGCCACCTCTTACCATCACCCAGGTGACCCCTTCCCCTCCACCTCGTCGTGCCTCACCTTCTCAAGGTTCGCTCCACTTCGATCTCATCCATCCAGCAGCCGAGTGACTAACTATCAAGCGTAGACTCAACGCCTCCCCGAGTTATGAACGACCTCACTGAATAGGCCAAGAATAAGTACACAGGACTACGGAAGGAGACACATTACCTCAAGTCGTCATCCGAACGACTTTTAACTTCTCGTGTCGGCCTCACGGATTCGGAGACAGTAAATATGATGGGGGACTGGACACTGTGACTTTAACCACTGTGGTCGTGCAACTCACAGCGCAAACATGGCCCGTGACAATTCGAGTGTTATTCTACAGCGGCCAGCGTCTAGACTGTGGATGTGGCGAGTGAGAGATCGGGGTAATAGTTAGTTGCCCGAGCGTATCTGCCATGGTGAAGGCATTGCGCTGAAACACGACACGGAGACGGCCAGCTCCGAAGGGCTAGGGGCTGGTGATAGAGTTGTAGCGACATCAATAATCTATAACGACTACCTGCACACGTAACGTTCGACGGGGGTGACATGGCGATTTCTGCCATGCGACTCCCGCCTGTCATTCCTTCTCACTGGTATTTCACGCTGGATGCTGTCCAACGTACTCGCCATTGTTCTGGCCTCGAACGAAGTGCCACGATAACTAACTTTTCAATTAATTTTGTACTATCAATAGCGCGATACATGGCAGTGCACGATCCAGGCCGTGAAGGCATTGATCTAACCTCAACAAGCGAGCTCCTGCATGCAGGGACGGGTTGAAATAACACAGCATTGCTGCAGTGCTAGTGTGGCTCGCCTAGAGCAAGTGCTCAGGCACTTGGACGCGCCTGAGCTACACCCAAGAAATTATGCGAAAGGATCCACTGATCCACTGATCCACAGAGGAGTGGGATGAGGTCGCCGCTCCTAACCTGTAGGCTGTACCGTGTCTGTAGTCATGCAGACGTTCCAATCGTGCAGTTACATACTCCGACCTGTGGACACACGGTTGAAGCGCCAGTCTCCAGAGATGTTCACGGCGCCCATAGCAATCGCTTCACTCGCACAAGTATTTAGTTACACACAGGGCAGAACAACGGAGACCAAAAATCTTTCTCGTAACTCCGAGTTTCGTGTTGCAAAAACACTCATCAGACGAGGTATTGAGCACTGTTTGCAGCAAAGACTACAGTCCAGACACTTTGACAAGTATTTAGTTACGTTGTATCCTACATACATGTATGTACTGCTCCACTGGCACTGGTTCATCATTGGCGACATGTAAATACTGTATCGTGTTACATGACTGCGGACACAAATAATAAATTAATCAGACCCCGGCTCTAGATTCGCCCAGGGAAGGTCAACCACGCCAGTTACAGTGTACCACGCTTATCCTGTACCATTGTGAGTTGTGAGCGTCGTGCATGCAGGCGAATGATTGCGTGGCCAGTCTCCTCCGCGGTCCGGTCCGGCGATGGAGCGGAATAAACACCGATACTTGCCGTGAAAGTCCGGAAGAACACATCACACTTCACATATTGCAGTTGTAATGGTAATGTTGACCTCCCATGTTCTGAGACGTACATGTACATGTACTGTCGTGAACATGGAAATCCGGTCGCACGTCTAGCGGCCCCTGGGCGCTGGCCATGCAGCCGTAGCAGCTGCTCCTGGTCGCATCGGAGCAACATGTGCACTGCATGCAACGACTAACAGTTACTTAGGGGCCGTCCGTAAATATCGATGTTTTTTTAGAGACGATATTGGTGCGTCTGGGGGGGGGAGGGGGTTTGAGCCATGTGCGTCTTTTCGAGCATCAGAAAAAATATCGATGTAAATATCTGAAGTTTCGCCGATCCCTGCACGCGGACGTCTAAATGGCTATACAAGAAATGTGAAACCAGCTTCCGTTCGCGGAGCTAAAACTCGCGACACAAGAACAAACTCAAAAATTGGAAGCTGTACGCCCATGGCGAATTTCAAGAGCAAAAGAATGAGCTATTGATTGTGGAAATCGGCCGAACGATGCCTGCAGGAGACCTTTTTCAAGACGTAGAGGCAGTGCGAACAAACACGGACGAACTCCACAAGAGTTTCCAGTCTTCACTGTCTGAACAAGGATTTGAAAAAATTCAAGCCCGAGCGTAGCCGCTTTGGCTACACCAGTACACGATGGCTGTGAGCACTGCAGCGCCAACCCGGTTCGCTCCCCCCAGGCGATGCAGCTATTGCGTGAGTGCGGCGGGATTTTCACGCCTACACCGGACCCTCAACATCCTGGGCACTTCATGAGCATCCAAAAATATTGATTCCATGATCTAGATGTACATGTGCGTCTTCTGGGGGGAGGGAGGGGGGTCAAGGGAGAGAAGCACCAATATCGTCTCTAAAAAAACATCGATATTTACGGACGGCCCCTTACGTAACGTTCTGTACGCGCTGAGGACGCCGGCCCCGATCAATCGACTGGATTTCGATGTCCGCGACAGTACATGACATGTACCTGGTCGCAGTGAACTCAGTATAAAAAAAAACTCAGTATCCATGAACCCAGTCAAGTCTAACACGGACTACACTACAGTGGTGTATTCACTGGTTTCAGAGAAGAGTGTACGTAACCACGTTTTTGTGTTTAAAAACACAATGAATCAACTCTGCATCGGTTTACCATCGGTAGAATAGTATCAGAAACCGAAGAAGTCTAAGTTCTCTAACTAGAGAGTAACACGGAACATACATGTACACGAACTGTCGAGATGTGTATTGAACACTGTTCATAGCGCCCTCGGGGTGAATTTGTACTTGGGTTAGGCAAATACATGTACATGTGTTATGTAATTCCAACTTAAAACTACAGTAGACCAGCAGCGCACCTTGACCTCAAATCGGTACCACTGGGAGTTATTATTCAATGATTTCAATCGGAGATGGGTGATTCGTTCGAGGCTGAGCCTGTCTCCGTGAGTCCGTGTTCGGTAGTTTTCCGGTTCGCTTTCTGACAATGGCAGCGTGATGTCATTTCGCTTCTCCATTGTTCGCCGCTGAAATCACAATGCGCATTGTTTCCTCGTCAAACAAAACATAAAATCGCATCATGTATGATGTACATACATGTACTGTCATGTATGTACAGTCATGTACTCTGCAGAAAGGTGTCACCTCATACTTCATAGTATTTGCCTGGGACACCACACTGACCACAGGCACAGCCACATCTAGAATATCTAGCCCTCCGTACTGATCTAGAGCTAGAGATCGTACGTACACGTGACGACAGGTGTGGAACTACAAAAAAAACAATAATTTTTGTGTAGACCTTTCATGTTTGTGTACACAATGATTAGTGTTACTGATGTCCAGTGACGACATGTTTGGCTGACAAGTGACAGCCACCCATATCCTACAGTGTACACGTGTATGTATGTAGTGTCCAATCCGGGGAGGACATACCGTGTACATGTATTGTATTGTACATGATGATCAGGCAACCACATTCAGACATGAGTCCATATCACGGTGGGGATCGGGGCGCTTGCCAGAGAAGAAGGGCTTGCAAATGGTTGTAGTAGAAATCTACTAAAATATTACCTTTTTCTTGCGATGTACTATTAAATTTTACAATGATTATTATACGTGTAGATGACACGAGCGCACTAGATCTACACTGTTCATAGAGTGTCTGATATATTTTAGGCCATGCATGTACAATGTACATGTACATGCATGACGATAGGGTGTCGCCTCGCAACACTGCTGATTGGATCCGGAGGCAAACTAGCAGTACAGGGTACAACTAGTACTGACTCTGAGTACTAGTAGTTTCAATCGCAAGTCATGTACTGTACATGCGCTCCCTTCCCTTGCACGTAGATCTACATGTACATGTCTCCTTGGATACACTTCTACTGTAGCACTCACTACAGTCAGCACAGCAGAACTGGAAGAAGCTGGGAACGAATTCAGCTGCAACTCAACTCTTGTCTGGTGATTGCGTTTTGGCGTGAAACACAGAGGGGAAAGTACATGTAAGTTTCAACATACAAATAACTAATAATTACTTGTTCAATCCTGGCCACAGTGTGTGACCCTCGATTACATAACATTACAACAAGGGTATGAGAAATACACTGTTCTCTATCAGCAACAACAATAATAATTATTATTATTGATTGTGATACGCTGTGCTTTGGTCAAAGACGCTGTGACTGAATTAAAAGCATCCAACACCATTTTCACCGGGAAGGATATGCGGAGTCAGTGCATACACTGTCTAAATTTACTCTAACTACAATGTACAATCATCTAAATTAGATTTCAGCTCAGTGGATATTCCTGTATGCAGCATACCGGAACCTGGGCCTTAGACTGGGAGTGGGAGACATACAATGTATATGTACATGTACCCAAACCCTGGTCTAAGCAGTCTGCCCACGCATTGGCCACCACCCACCCAGCTGACCAGCTGAATATTCAGGGCCATGCCATTTATAGCCCAAGTACAAGTGCTATACGCGTAGGCATTACAAAGCTGTGGCCCTCGCCCTGGTAGCCCCTCGTTATTACACTGGTCCAGTACCGATCGTAATCGTGTTAGCACTGAATCGATCTACACTGCACTGGCAACAGTGGCCAGTGCAGCAGTTAGCTGAGAAATTAAAATAGACTTGCGATCCGAAAATGCACACTTTGCAAACCGGAAGACCACGGCGGTCCTGCTCGGGAACAACCTTCTGCTCTGTTCTTGATCTCAACTAAATAACTAAATAAGTTACTTGCAGGCACATGATGCAGCGAAACGTCTTTAAAAGGTCAATTATGGTCAGTTTTCAAGACCTGATCGACACTCAAATTTAATAATGATCTACGTGGTCTGGCAACGCCTAAGAAGGTTTCATTAGTACATGCATGTGCTTGGAAACGTAGTATGTTTGACGGCCTGTGTCATGGAATGTGCGTGAGAGCTCAATGATGAAAAGAGCATCTGCCATGCCATAAACGCCTTATGGTGGCATTCGCCCATACTGGCCACAGTGAACTAAAGAGGCCGCCATCATCACCACCGTGCCCTCTTCTGCGCTCACTTTCAGGCTCTCAGCTGGAACATCTGACATTGTAGAGATACTGCAGCGCTGCACACATACATGTACTCGATTTGTGTAGAACAGCTATTGCGCGCAGCTGTAAGTGAGCAACTGGTGCAGGCACAGTCGCATCCTCAGCAGGGGTTCTCACACCACAGGCACTGCTGTCTTCCATTTAAGCTACATGTACATGTATTTCTCTCTTCTTGCCCTGACCTTTGTCTCTCACTGGGAAATAATTGATACAACCACTCACGTGAGCATATTTGGACATTCCGCCTTTAAAGTACAGTGCAGCTCAATGAAATCCAGTCGCGTCACTCCTTGCACCTTTTCCCAGCCCAGTGTTCGCAGGTCTAGGGCTGCGCAACGCCCGGCGCGTACTTGAGAAACTCGACTGGATTTCATAGAGCAGCACTGACTGTACATTGTACATGTATCTTAGCAAGAAGATATATGTACATGTACATGTAATACGAACAAGGGTGAACTACAATGTAGGTCGTGCAAACCTGTGGAGTGATGATGTTGCCGTTGCTGCGACTGCTGAGTACTTGTGCCAGAGCCATGCTAGAAGGTCATGGTCGCTTACCACGATATTATTTATACCTGCCATGGGACAGCATCTATACTAGGCTATAGTGAACAAGACCACTCAACCCTGAGTATAGCTCCAGTCTCCTGATGATATCTTTTCAACGTGAAACTCGTGAGCAGAGATACATGTATTTAATCATTTTTATTCCACGGGATTCTCGTTTATCATTAATTTTGTTATTACTAGTATACTGTTATGTGCGGTGCTATTATGCTAACGAATGAAATCCGATCAACGGAGTGAATGCCATGCCGGGCGCTGTCAGGGA